AAGTAAGTTTTTAAAGAACTTTAAGTCCAAAGTAAACTACTACGAATGCAAAGCACTGAGGCTCAATACTTCAGGTCATGTTCTTCAGAGCTTAACAGTTAACACATGTTCCCTCTGAGCAAGGCACATGCAGAGCACCCCCCACCACACAGGGGGAGTGTTCCAGCCTCCCGCTCAGTGAGAGGACCAGGGTGACTATGACAGGCACATGAACACCCAGCACAATGCTAATCATCAGTCACTGAGGACAATGATAGTGACTGCGATGCTATGGACGTGAATGACCACCAGTACTGGACCTGGATGGGCACACTTCTGGTCTAATTGACTCATCTCAGGAGGTCTTCTAAAAGGCCCTCTTGGCTGTGTTAAGTTAAAACCACTCATCTGGAATAGTCTGACTGACTCTGGACCAGACCCCAAATGACCCAGGCATCCCAGCACTAGCAGCCCGAGTATGCTGAAGCTGTTTCAGCCCTGTGACTATGGTCCTCTGGACCTGCTGATCTCAGCCTTGAATTGTCAATAGTCTCAACATCCCCAGAATCATAGACAAAGTGGGTACTTCATCCTCAGGCCTTGTGGTCCCCCTTCTGAGGTGGGAGGAACACGTGGAGGCTTGACAAATATTCTGATGTCACCAGTTAAGAGTCAAAGGACAAAGCAGGAATCCTTGAGGATTTCTTTGACTACAACTTCAGAATTTCTCAGGATTCTCTTTGTAAGTGGCAAAAGTTTATTAGAATATACTTTCTCTGAGCTGTTCAGTAAATTTTTCAAAACCCGAGTTATTTTTATTTCTCTTTTGTACAAAAAACCTTTGCAAGTAACTAAGGATAGCAATATGACAGATGTTTTTTAAAGCAGTGTAACACATTAGGCACCTTGATTCACTGAAACAACAAGAAAACACAGGATAAACTGTAGACAAGTATTTTTTAATGCAATACTGATCTTGTAAGTAGATATGGAATAATTAGGTTTAAAAACAAAGTTAAGATGGCATTTGCTTTGAGAATATTTGTCAAACCTAGTGAAAGTGAACATTAGTTTTCAACGATTTGGGCTTTAGGGAGAGATGACAAAGCCCAGACTCTGTTCAAAGCAGAAAGCTAACAGCAGAGACTTGTCTTACAAATCTGTGACCCAAAAGTGCTACACCATCAGAGTGAAAGTAAACTAGAAATGAACAAGCTCTTTCCTCCACTTCTGTACCAACCTGCCCCACCCTGACTCCCCAAGACAATGAGACTAACTGCAGCTGGTTAAAATGGTACTGAGTAGGGAAAAACACGAATCCCACAGAATTTGTAATTACGAAAGTGCTTGCCTTAAAGTTTCCCCACCAAATTTTTACCACCTGGAAATTAAAAGCCACAAGCAAAGAATTTAATTTATAGTCTCAAACTGGTGCTGTCTCAAGACAAATTCATCCTGGAGAAACCCAGCCCTTGAAAAATTTCAACAGATAAAGTTTCAAGGCAAATGGGCATTGCACACACACGCACACATGCACACACACACAGTCACAAAACACATGATGATGAACACACTAAGAGGAAACGTTAGCAGACACAAGAGATGGCAAAAAATGACCTGCAAACACTTCAGATACTAGAATTATAAGATAAAGATTTAAATAAGTAAAAGGAAAGCTTGAAACTAAAAGAATGAAGAAATTATAAATAATGACAAGAAAAAAATTCAAAGAACCAATGAAGACTTCTGGAAGTGGAAAATAGTGCTTGGGATGAAGAAATCAGAATGTGGTACAGACAGACAAGTAGATGGAAAATATGACAGGTTAAGAAATATGGAAGATAGAGAATATATAATATATAAATAACTGGAATGTCAACAGGAAAGAAGAGAGTCATTTTTTTAGGTTTAAAATGTGTAACAATTTAGGAAAAAAATCAAGCTATAAAAGTTGGTTTCAAAAACCCTATAGTAAACAGTCTATTTCATAATGATATTCCAAATTTTCCTTTAAAATCACAGGCAAGGGAAGGTGCCCACTGTTACTACTACTTCTTATTCACACTGTATGGGAAGGCACAGCCAGTCCAATAAGGCAAGGGAAATAATACACAAGGGTTGGAAAGAAAAAACATTATTTTTTCAAACATATGATTGTATAGGAATGCAATAAAAATACAGGTCAATTACTAGATACAGTCTGAGAATTTAGCTTATTGTCTGGCTGTAAAAAATATTAAAAAGTCAATGTACTCCAAAAAAATAAATTAAAAACCAATGCATCTGTAATTAAAAGATACCATTTACAAAAACCTAAAAAAATGAAATATGCTGGAATAGATTTAACTAAACATATCCAAGACTTTCATAGTAAAATAACAAAACTTTATGGAAAGATTTAAAGATTTATCTAATAAGTAGAAGAAATAGACACAATGAAGATTCAAAATAGTAAAGATAGCAATATCCCCAAAATAGAGATTCAATGCAACTCCAAATTCCCAACAAGATTACTGTGTGTGTGTGGAACATGACGAGCCCATTTTAAAATTTGTATTTTAAAGCCAAATGCCAAAAATAGCCAAGATACACTTCAAGAATAAGAGGGGTACTTCTCACCAGATATAAACTATTATTACTTAGGTACATAAAAAATGACCAACAGTAGAGAAGAGAGCCCAGAAATGAATCTTACACACAGAAATTTGTTGTATGACAGAGTCTGCATTATCTACAGCAGGGAAGGGCAGAATTTCAGTAAGTCGTGCAGGTAATTATTTTCATATGGAAAATTAAACTGTCTAATTGGATTAAACACCAAATTATGAAAGCAAAACTCACAGGTAATTATTTTCATATGGAAAAAAATTTCTAACTGGATAAACACCAAATTGTGAAAGCAAAGCTCAAATAATACCCCCTTCAGTCCCAGGAAAGAGTTGCCCCTAACCTGGAGCCAAGATGTACAGGTCCCTGCTCTGGCCTTCTCCCAGCAAAGCCTCCCTCCCACTGGGTAAGTATAGAGCCTGCAGGGCCAAGGCAACCTGTCTGCAGCAGCCAACACATCACCTTCTAGACTGAGTTCCAGATACCCCCACATCTGAAGTCCCGGCTCAAATGGCTCCAAAGTCAGCTTTCAGGACCTGGTCAGGCCTCTTCCCATTTGATTTCTGGAGAGCAGACAGAAGAGAGCACACCCCCAGGCTCCAGGGTTCCAAGATTGGCTAAGGAGCAGCTACTGTGGGAGGTGGGGATAGAATGCAGACTATATGGGCTGAGGTGTCCACATATGGCCATGTGACACCTCTGGTGTGGGAAGAAACTAAGGTAGGAAAAGAATGCAGAGGACTTGGGGATGTATCTGTCTGAGGCTCCACCTTTCAGTGCAGACCTCTGTAAGGAGTCTGAGATCTCTAAATTCAAACCTGGCCTCCCTTGTCACTAGGAAGGCTATCTGTCAAGGTGGGAGAATAGAGTATATTTTTCTTTTAGAGCATATTTATTCAACAGTTTGTTAGCTAGATTTCTAACCTCTTAACTATTAGACATATTTGGGCCTCTGTTTGTACTCTTTCCCTGGCCCAAGCTATCACTTCTGTTAGAAGACCATCTAGGGCAGCTTTCAGGGCCAAATCAGACCCTCTACTTATTTTCGGAAAGTTTTATTAGAATGCAGCCACACCCACTCATTTCCGTGTTGCCAGTAGCTGCTTTCATGTTACTATCGCAGTACAGTAGTCACAGGTGAGACAGAAACTACATGCCTCACAAAGCTAACTGGTTCTTTCCCCAAAGAAACCCTGCTGATCCCGGATTTAGGGTAACAGTTTAAAATAGAAAAAAAGCTTAAAACAAGACACTAGGAGTAAAAGTTACAAAGGAAAGATTGACAAGTTTATCTATTTAAAATGAAGAATGTGGGTGAATCAAAAAACACCATAAAGTGAAAAAATGAGCTACAAACCAGAATATATTGCAACACATACAACTGACAAAGGACTAGCTTTCAAAGTAATGATAATAAAAATTTTAAAAACTCCCATTGATGAGAAAAGTCAAACAATACATTTATGTTGAGCAAAAATTAAGGACATTTTATAGAAGAGAAAACAAGTACTACCATTATAAACATGAAAATATGCTCTGAAATGCATTAGAACCAGGGAAATGCAACTGAAATCTAATTTGGTACCACTTCAGACTAAAAATACTTTCCAAATATTAAAGTCAGACATAGAGCAAGAGAATTATCATCTCCTGGAGAGGATATAAACTGGCCCAACCACTTTGGAAGAGCATTTGACACTCCCAATAAAGAACTCATGCATATCCTAAACCCATCAATTCCAGAAGTAGGTCTGGAAACTAAAAACCAATTCTTGACACATGAACACTAGAGATATGTACAAAAATATTTACAGCAGTGTATTTTCTCACAGAGAAATCCCCCCCCCTACAAAAAAAGTGAGAATTGCAAAAGCAGATATAACCACCCATATACTGGAATGGATAAATATGGTAGACTCATACTAATGAATGAAATACAGTCATAGGTATCAATCTGGTGAATCATACAACAAAATGTTGTGTAGGAATCATGTATTCTATTCACATAAATTTCAAAAACAGAACTAAACAACATAGTGTCTAGAGAGATATATAGTGGTAAAACAACAAAGAGAAGTAAGGGAATGATTAACCCAAAATCCAGGATCAAGGCTACCTCCAGGTGGGGGTGGGGTACAGTCTGTGAGAGATACACAGGCATTTCTAACGTACTGAAAATCTTTTTTTAACATGGGCAGTAGCTACACTAGTGTCTGTTTTATTACGTTTCTTCAAACTGTACATAGATACCATACATACTCCTTTATATGTATGACTTAACTTAAGAAAGCAAATTTTTAAAACAGCAACATAAATTTCATGTTTCATAACATCTCATTAAGATTCAGGCCAACTGAAACCAATGCAATTTTACTGCAAAATAAAGATACATGGGTTTCTAAAAGAACCCTTACCCTGTGTAGCCTTTTCAACATTTCCAGGAGAGCTTTAATGTGACAGTTACTCTCTGGACTTTCAGTCCAATAGCGCATTTGAGCAGTGATGGCTCTTTTAAACATCTGGACCAGTTGGCTGAGAGCAGATTCTTGCAGAGATGCCCAATATTTCTCTAAGGGATACAAATTTGGTTAAATAAATGTTAGAATGTAATTTCCCTTGGATTCTTAAAGATGAAAACTGGTCAGTATCTTTCAAAACTAGTATAGACTATTTTCTTACTTATCATAGTTCCAAAAACACATTTTCTAATACATTTTTCAGTAGATATGGCTACAACAAAAAGTTTATAATTTAATGTCCTAGAAAAAATTCCTTGACAGTAATAAAAACCACAACTTGATCTAATTAATTCGTGATAAAGAGAAAAAAATTAGCCACAGTTTTGCCCAGATGAAATAAGCACACTGTATCAAAACGAGATAAAGAATTATTCATGATTGTGCCAACTCTTTTTGTACTCCCAGCATGAGTTTTTAACTCTTAAAAAAAAAACAACAAAAAAAGTTTTAAACTAGCTTATGTTACCTGGATTTAATAAGACATAAGAAAGAATGAACTTCCCTAGACTAAGTATGATGTTTGGGTCAAAAACCTTGTTAAAATCTAACCAAACTCCTAGACCTAATTTCCAGTGGACTGGAAATACAGAGAAAGGAGGAAAGATTCGGACAAATCCAGATGTGGGGAACTCAACAAGACAACTGACTGGACTCTTTACTTTACAACAAAAAAAAAAGGCTATAAAATACTTTTTGGAACAAGTGAAGAAATCTGAATATGGTTCAGATATTATATAATATTGTGGAATTGTGACTAACTTTATTAGGTGGGATAATGATGTCATGGTAATATAGGACTCCATATTCTTAGGAGATGAATGCTGAAATATTATGAGTAAATTGTCATGATGTGCCAACTTATTTCAAATTGTTCAGCAAAAATAAAATAGGATCAGTACATAGAGGAAGCACACATGATAGTCATGGCTGACTCTAAGGTAAAGGGTCTATGGGTGTTCACTGTACTTTTTTTTCAACTTCTGTGTATGAAATTTTCCATCATGAAAAACTGGGGGAAAAGGGCCTCATGACCAAACCATGCATGAATCATTACAAGAACATTAAAAAGGTACTAGAACAATCCATTTTGGATGACCAGTTAATTCTACAGCATCTTTACAACATGCAAATATGACCTAAAAAACACGAATGTATTCTACACTAAGTTTTGCCATAACTGTACTAGGGATTATTTCTACTGAGGATGGTAAAGCATGTTCAAACGTAAATCATGAATCTTACCCATTATGCCTGACGAATGGTCACTCATTTTACAAAGAGCCTCTGCAAACGGAACCACTAGGCTCTCCCAGTTGTTATAATCATGCATCATAGGACATTCTGGAAGAAGGAAGAAAATTTCTAAAGCTTCTTGGTGTGGAGAATGAAACGGAAGATTTTTGAACAGATTATCCCTGAGACACGTGGTTATCTATGGTCAAAAAGGATCAGAGAAAAGACACTCAAAACACAGCAGGACTGGTTGCTACTTGCTCTAATAGAGCACAGAACCTGGAGTTTCATTCTACTACGACATTGGAAAAATCATTTACTCTTTCTAAAACCCATGCTTACACCCCACTTCACCCAGCCTCCTGAGGTGTAGACATGTTACAAGTATTGTCCCCTTCAATTGTTGGGGTGCACAAAGCAGATCAATAAATCAGTATAAGAGTTACACTGGATGAACAATGAACTGAGAACTAATAGGCAGCCCTCCCAGAGGAATACACTCTACCCTCTGGTTCCACTATCACACCTCTGTTTTTTTAAAGAGGAAGAATGTGTCAGAACCCAAAACAAATAAAAAGCAACAACCGCAACAAAAAAAGACAACATGGTTTCCTATTAGCTCCTCAGAGGATCACCTGTCTCACCACAAACTCTAGTTCTATCTTTCTAATCACCTTTATTTCCCCAATTCAGAATGATAGAGTTCAGGAAAAATTCAAACGCAAACCTGAATTTTTATGTTAGATGTGTTCAGATAACAGAAATAATTTAAAAACCCACTAAAAAATAAGTTAGCATTTATGGAGCACTTATTTGTCAGTTATCGTGCTAAGTGATTTACATATATTAGGTCATTTAACCCTCGTAGTTTTTCTGTAAGACAGATAATACTGTGTGAATTACACTTCATAGATAAGCAACGTGTACTTCAAAGAAATTAATTTGATCAAGGTCAGACAGCTAAGTGAGAATCTCCCTGGTATTCTTCTAACTACAAAGCCCATGTTCTTCATCACTAAATTATGATACTAGCTATATCTTATCTCTAATCATACAAATTCTTGTAACTATTTTTATATCAAAACATTATACTGGGCTCCTCCTACTGGTTCAGTTTTGGAGTTACATATAAACGACAACTCTATTTTGGTATGTCTCAATAGCACATGCTCCTCCAACCTCTTCTCATCATTAGCACATTCCCAAACCTCCGAACTGATAACAAGCCCTTTAGAACTGCCAATACTCTCAAACCAGTTCTATGGTTCCACACACTGCGCCTTAGTGTACACTTTCCCAATGCCAGGAATGCCCCTGCCCCTACAGGCACCTGGGCAATGCCTACTTCCCCTGGGTACCTCATTCTGAGTACTCTAAGTAGAGCTGACCAGGTGCTGCCCTAGGAATGACTGAATTCATTGATCCAAAAATATTTAGTATACACTCACTATGTTCTAAGCTACACATTCAGGAAGACAGTGCAGTGTAAAACACATCCAGTCTCCCCACTAATTCCTAAATGTTCATGTCCATGTCCATAACATTCATTTTTTTATCAGGAGTGCTCATCACAGTGCCCTACACATAGCCAGTATTCAAATGTTTGCTAAGCAGGTGGATGAATGCCAAGTCTGTGAATGTGTATCACAGAAACTCAAAATAGAAACATTACAGGTGTCTAATCCAACTATCTCGTCTAAAACAATGGATGACTGCTCTATGACTAGAATTGCCTGCACATTATATAATATTGTTCTGGCACAACTGAGGTATTATTAGCCTTAGTGATGAACTGGTCCAACCCTTTCCCTTCATAGATGCAAAAATGGTCTTCTATTTTTCGTGATCTTTCCACTATAGTGGAAAGTGCTGCAGCATCTCAATAAAGATGCATAATTAGAGAGCCATTTTACCTGAGACCCCTCATTGCACTGTGATTCTGCCAAAGTGAACAGAATTAAACTTTCCACCTTCCCTTGAGAGCAAAGAGAAAAGAAGTGCATGTGATAGAAAACCTGCAGCTAAGATACAAAATGCTAATTAGGGCAGACAGAGCAACACAGCAGGTGAGGGAGCTGAGAGGAAGGAGGGAGAGATGAGAGCAAGACTGAGGGAAAGAGAATGAGAAAGAGGGAAAGATCAAGGATGGGGGGAGCAAGTAAAGAAGTGATGGGGAGAAAAAAAAGAGTGAGACCTAGATAGAAACAGATGGAGAGAACAGGGGAAGTACCACTCCTAGAGCTACCAGTACATCAGAACTGGGTAATAAATTAATAAAGGAAGCATGTTTAGAACATCTGCAAGTAGGAAACCCACAGATAGTAATAACAGTGCTGAGACAAAGAAGCAACAATCCCAGAAAGGTCAAGAACATTCTAGAACCTATAAAAAAGTGCAATGTTAAAAAACAGAGAGGAAGAATCCAGGCAGTCTTTGGTAAGGGGGATGTTCATATCAGAAACAATGTTCTCATTTCTTTACTTACATTTAAAAGCATTGAAAATAAAGTATTCTTACTCCAGTGCTAACAATCACAACAAATCCTTCTGTCATCTTCCTAAAGCCCTGAGTTGAAAAAAATTCCTTCTGTAGGGAGTGTATGTAGTACACATTACATGTATAGATTAACTATTTGTAATTTACGTGATTATACCACCTACTGCATCCTAAGTGGGCAAACTTCTGAGTGATATCTGAGTTTAACTTAATTTGGATACGCTACAGTCTCAATAATCTCAAAACACAATACTCTTACAATTTTGAATTCTTATAAAAAATGTTCTGGTGTATTTTCTTTTTCCAGGTAACAATATGAAGAATACAACCGTGTTAGTAATCCACTCCTTCTGGGTTAACTCCTTGAAGGTGTTTCTTGCTTTACTTAAATCCAAATGAACAGGAATCATTTCTGTAGCAATTCTGTGGTAGGAAGACAAATTTATAAATAGATGGATAAGTAAATAAAAAAGGACACTTCAAAAAAAGTATTTTAATAGATTATCCAGATGAAAAGTTTCTTCTAAAACATATTTCATTTCAATGAATTTCTTATTTCTCAACTTTACAATAACTATAATTTGGCTGAACACAAATACAATTGAAAATATAGTTGACAAACATGATTATTTCTAAAGTGACACAAACTCTCAAGGCTGAATTCATCACTGAATTAACATAACATGCTTTCAGACTTTAACTCAGACTTACTGTTACCTTAAATGGGTAATCAATATATATTTTCCCAAAACAAAAAAAAAGTCACAGAAAAGGTAACAGTTCTTCCTGTTTGTGGAAAAATGACCACTTCCCCCATTACATGAACTGGAAATGAAGACCACAAAAAAGGAGTTTCAGAGCAGCACATTTTTTAGTGTTCCAACAGAAATTTGCTAATGAAATGTGTAAGCATCTGAACTCGTAACTTATGTTTTTACTGAATACATTATTTAAATATAGATACTATTTGTAAGAACTATATATTTACCATCTAAAAATAGAATTTCTATTTATATAAATATTTATGAGAAGTGTCAAGTCATTCTTTCATAATATTCAAAAATTCAAAGAAACGTAAAACTGAAGTACATACAAAATGCACAAATCTTAGTGTACAGCTTGATGTATGTTGACATGTGTATATCACTCATGAAACCTTCACCCAGATGAAGATATCAAACATTCTTACTAGTATTTCCCCTTCACCTATTTTTCCCATCCCTCTACCCCCTCCCCTATAGCAGCCACCAGTATGTTCTGTGTCTATGCATCTATTTGTTTTGTTTGTTTGAGAAACCTTAATATCTTGCAATAAGGGCATATTTAAATAAATTAAGGTATGCCCTTTCCATGGAATACCATGCAGCCATAAAAATGTTATGAAAAATATTGAATATGGAAATTGACTGAAATGGAAAATGGACAAATACATTACATGTAAAACAATATACTCCCATGTTTTGTAAAAGAATACACTTACATAGAAAAAAAGATATATACAAAAATATTCGCTATTACTCCTAAAAAATGGTATTGCTGACTTACCACTTTTTGTTTTTTTTGTGTGTGTGTGTCTATTATTGACATTTTCTACAGCAAACATACATTGCCTTTGTTAAAAAAAATTACAAAGTAATTTTTAACGAGATAAACACAGAAGTAATTATTTTACCATCAAACCATTTTCTTCACAATCTTTCCTTCTTTTTATTTATAACTGACATATAACTGTGTTAGTTTCAGGTGTGTACATCACAATGAATCAATATATGTATACATTGCAAAATGATTATCATAAGTCTAGTTAACACTCATCACCACGGTTACAAATTTTCTTTTTTTGTACTGAGAACTTTTAAGAGTTACTCTCTTGACAAACTTTCAAATATACAATTATTAAGTAAAGTTAACATGCTGTACAGTATTTTTTAACTGAATTTTTAATTTATTATATATATTACCTTTCCTTTAAAAAACTTCCAGTCAGACAAGCAGGAGATGAAAATATCTCTCTGATTTCCCTGTATTAGAAATAAGACGGTGGTTAAAATAACTCATAGCAATGTTCTCCAAATTCTCCCCCAGTCTCCAAGTTGTTTGTACATAGCCTTGGGCATCTGTAAGTCTACTCCATTTGCTAACTCTCAAAATTCAGTGGCAAACAGAGAAAACAAAAAGGTACATACTCAGGGAAGCCTTTGGAAAGCAATAAAGGAAAGACCCGGGACATTTTCTTTGGCATATAAAACACTCCTAATCCTACTCAGTTTTACAACCTATTTCTTTCTTTTCCACTGAAGTAGGAACAAAAAACATTACTGTAAGTAGTAAAAAGGCGGGAGTAGGCAGAGTGAGGTAATGCTCCATTCCATTTCAGAAGTAATTGCACAAAAAGTTCTTGATCACTTACGCTTGCAAATTATAATGCAATTGCAATTTGTAAAATGACTTTCCAGAATTAGAAAGCCATACCTAAAAATATTGCTGAAAGGAAATGTTTGTAAAAATGAGTGTAATCTTTACAAACAGTAGGGGTTTTATCCTTTAGAGCAAGGTAGCCCAAACTGTTCAGATGTGAAGCCCAAAAACAGGTGCTTCCAAGGTCAAACAGGGTTGAAAACTGTACAGTATATTTCTTCCTCAGAGTTACAATATATGCAAACGTATCAAGGCTCAAAGAATCTTGTAGTAAGGGAAGCTGCCCTCATAAAGCTTAGATGCTAGTTGTGAATGTTAATTATTTTTTAATCTAAAACAACTTTGAGATGTAATTTACACACCAAACAGTTCACACATTTAAAGTGTGTAATTTGAAGGTTAATTCTGTATGTCAACTTAGCTAGGCCATGGTACCAAGATATTTGGTCAACCACCAATTTAAGATGTTGCTATGAAGGTATTTTTTTAGATGAGATTAACATTTATCTTAGAAGACTTTGAGTAAAGCATAATACCCTCCATAATGTGGGTACCTCATCTAGTCAGTTGAAAGCCTTAAGAGAAAAAGCTTAAGGGTCCCTCAAGGAAAGAGGGAATGCTGCCTCCAGACTGCTTTGGCACTCAAGCTGCAATATCCACTCTTCCCTAGGTCTCCAGCTTGCTTGCCTGCTTTACAGATTTTGAACTTGCCAGTCTCTACAACTGCATGAACCAATTCCTTATAAATAAATCTCCTGAGTTTGGAGAGTAAAAGATGGCAGCTTGAGTAGGGCAGCAGAAATCTCCTCCCAAAACCATACATATTTTGAAAATACAGCAAATACAACTATTCCTAGAAGAGAGACCAGAAGATATAGTACAACAGCCAGGCTACATCTACATCTCCAAGAACTCAGCATTCCCACAAAAAGAGTAAGAAAGATACAAAGCCGTGACCTGGTGGGACCTGAGCATTCCCTCCACCCCAGCTCACCAGTGGGAGGGAAAGAATCAGAGTGGGGAGAGAGTAGAAGCACAGGACTGCTAAATAACCAGCTCTAGTAATCTGCAATGGGAGCACAGACACATATTGCATAATGTACTGGATATAAGAGAAACAGAAAAGTAAAATCCGAGACAGACTGAAAGTGGGTCCCCACAGCCAGCTCCCCTGGGACAAAAGAAAAGCAGGCACTTTAAAAGTTTTAGAAGTCTTAAAGGGACAAGTGTATAACAGATGGACAAAACAGTCCCGGCAGACTCAGCCAAACAGGTGGGAATCTTAAGGAATTTCAGGCACCCTAACCCCCTGGGTGGCAATGCAGGTAGAGCTTCCCTCACAGCGAAAAGCAGCCTGTCATTCATTCCCCCCTACCTGCACTGCAAGCAAACCGGCTGGGCTGATCCACCACTGCTGCAGACCAGCCAGGGAGCAGCCCCGCCCACAGCAACCACATAGAGTCTTCTCCCAGCGCACAGCTAACCAGGCCAGACCCAGAGGCTGCCCCCACTGCACAATCACGCGGCACAGGCAGAGGAGGCCCAGGCAAAGTCCGAGGGCATGAAGGGGTGCCTGCCACTCTCACAGGAGAACACACGCTGTGCACCTGCAACCCCTGGCAGTGCATTATGCTATACCAAGGGCCGCCCCGTCCATGGCAGCTCAGGGAATTAACCCAGAGACTGCTCCCGGTGTGCAGTTAACCAGACACGCAGCAGAGAAGGACAAGGTGACCAAGAAGCAGGAAGAGACTTTGTTCTTCCAGCTGACACACGCACCACTTGCCGGCGATCATTTCAATCGCCATGAAAAGGCAGAAGAAACTGGTCCAATCCAAAATCACTCAAACAATGCTGAGAGAGGGCCTGGCGAGACAGATATAAGCCATCTACCTGAAAAATAATTCAAAATAAAAGTCATAGCCCAAGAGAGGGCCTGGCAAGACAGACATAACCAATCTTCCTGAAAAATAATTCAAAATAAAAGTCATAACCATGCTGATGGAGCTGCAGAGAAATATGCAAGAGCTAAGGAATGTCAGGAGAGAGACTACAGAATGAAACACTCTATAGAAGAGCAGACTGGATGAGGTACAGACTATAAATGGAATAGAAATCAGAGAACAGGAATACAGAGAAGCTGAGACAGAGAGACAAAAGCATCTCTATGAATGAACGAACAGTAAGAGAACTGTGTGACCACTCCAAACAGAACAATATTCACACAATAGGGGTACCAGAAGAAGAAGAGAGAGAAAAAGGGATAGAAAGTGTCTTTTAAGAAATAATTGCTGAAAACTTCCACAAGCTGCAGAAGGAAATAGTCTCTCAGACAATGGAAGCCCACATATCTTCCAACACAAGGGACCCAAGGAGGACAACACCAAGACATATAATAATTAAAACAGCAAAGATCAAAGACAAGGTCAGGGTATTAAAGGCAGTCAGAGAGAGAAAAGAGATCACCTATAAAGGAAAACCCACCAGGCTATTATCATACTTTTCAACAGAAACCTTACAGGCCAGAAGAGAATGGCATGATATATTTAATGCAATGAAAAAGAAGGGCATCAAACCAAGAATACTGTATTCAGCAAGATTATCATTTAAAATTGAAGGCGAGATTAAACAATTTCCAGAGAAGCCAAAGTTGATGGAATTTGCCACCCACAAACCACCTCTACAGGGTATTTTAAAGGGACTCCTCTAGATAGAAGCACTCCTAACACTAAATAGATACCTCCAGAGCAAATAAAATCACAGCAAAGAAAGCAGACCAACCAAATACTAACTAAAGGCAAAAAATAAAATCAACTACCCACAAAAGCAGTCAAGGGAAACACAAAAGAGTACAGAATAAAACACCTAACATATAAAGAGTGGAGGAGGAAGAATAAGAGAGAGAAATAAAGAATCATCAGACTGTATTTATAATAGCATAATGAGTGAGTTAAAAGTTAGACATTTAGATAGTAAAGAAGCTACCCTGGAACCTTTGGTAACCACGAATTGAAAGCCTGCAATGGCAATAAGTACATATCTTTCAATAATCACCCTAAATGTAAATGAACTGAATGCACCAATCAAAACACAAAGAGTAAAAGAATGGATAAAAAAGCAAGACCCATCTATATACTGCTTACAAGAGACTCATCCCAAACCCAAAGATATACACAGACTAAAAGTCAAGGGATGGAAGAAGATATTTCATGCAAACAATAGGGAGAAAAAAGCAGGTGTTACAGTACTAATATCAGACAAAATAGGCTTCAAAACAAAGAAAGTAACAAGAGATAAAGGACATTACATAATGATAAAAGAGTCAGTCCAACAAGAGAATATAACTATTATAAATATCTATGCACCCAACACAGGACCACCTACATATGTAAAACAAATACTAACACAATTAAAGGAGGAAATAGAATGCAATGCATTCATTTTAGGAGACTTCAACACACCACTCACTCCAAAGGACAGATCCACCAGACAGAAAATAAGTAAGGACACAGAGGCACTGAACAACACACTAGATCAGACGGACCTAACAGACATCTATAGAACTCTACAGCCAAAAGCAGCAGGATACACATTCTTCTCAAGGGCACATGGAACATTTTCCAGGATAGACCACATACTAGGCCACAAAAAGAGCCTCAGTAAATTCAAAAAGACTGAAATTCTACCAACCAAGTTCTCAGATCACAAAGGTATAAAACTAGAAATAAATTGTACGAAGAAAACAAAAAGGCTCACAAACACATGGAGGCTTAACAACATGCTCCTAAATAATCAATGGATCAATGACCAAATTAAAACAGAGATCAAGCACTATATGGACACAAATGACGAGAACAGCACCATGCCCCAACTTCTGTGGGACACAGCGAAGGCAGTTCTAAGAGGAAAGGATATAGCAATCCAGGCCTATTTAAAGAAGAACAATCCAAAATGAATAGTCTAAAGTCATAATTATTGAAACTGGAAAAAGAAGAACAAATGAGGCCCAAAGTCAGCATAAGGAGGGACATAATAAAGATCAGAAAAGAAATAAATAAAATTGAGAAGAATAAAATAATAGAAAAAGATCAATGAAACCAAGACCTGGTTCTTCGAGAAAATAAACAAAATAGATAAACCCCTAGCCAAATTTATTAAGAGAAAAAGGGAATCTACACACATAAACAGAATCAGAAATGGGACAGGTAAAATCATGACGGACACCACAGAAATATAAATTAAGAGAGAATATTACAAAAAATTATATGCTAACAAGCTGGATAACCTAGAAGAAATGGACAACTTTCTAGAAAAATACAACCTTCCAAGACAGACCAAGGAAGAAACAGAAAATCTAAACAGACCAATTACCAGCAACGAAATTGAATCGGTAGTCAAAAACCTACCTAAGAACAAAACTCCTGAACCAGATGGCTTCACCACAGAATTTTATCAAACATTTAGTGAAGACCTAATACCCATTCTCCGTAAAGTTTTCCAAAAAATAGAAGAGGAGGGAATACTTCCAAACTCATTGTACGAAGCAAGCATCACTCTAATAGCAAAACCAGGCAAAGACACCACAAAAAAAGAAAATTACACACCAATATCCCTGATTAACATTCAACGCAAAAATATTCAACAAAATATTAGCAAACCGAATTCAAAAATACATTAAGAGGATCACACACCATGATCAAGTGGGATTTATAACAGGGATATAAGGATGGTACAACATTAAAAAATCCATCAGTATCATCCACCACATCAACAAGAAAGACAAAAACCACATGATCATCTCCATAGATGCTGAAAAAGCATTCGACAAAATTCAACATCCATTCATGATAAAAACTCTCAACAAAATGTGTATAGAGGGCAAGTACCTCAACATAATAAAGGCCATATATGACAAACACAAAGCCAACATCATACTTAACAGCGAGAAGCTGAAAGCTTTTCCTCTAAAATCAGGAACAAGGCAGGAATGCCCACTCTCCCCACTGCTATTCAAGATAGTACTGGAGGTCCTAGCCATGGCAATCAGACAAAACAAAGAAATACAAGGCAGCCGGATTGGTAAGGAAGATGTCAAATTGCCACTATTTGCAGATGACATGATATTATGTATCACAAACCCTAAAGAATCCACTCCAAAACTACTAGAACTAATATCTGAATTCAGCAAAGCTGCAGGATAAAAAATTACTACATAGACATCTGTTGCATTCCTTTACACTAACGATGATCTAGCAGAAAGAGAAATCAGGACAACAATTCCATCCACAATTGCATCAAAAAGAATAAAATACCTAGGAATAAACCTAACTAAGGAAGTGAAAGACCTATACCCTGAAAACTACAAGATACTCTTAAGAGAAATTAAAGAGGATACTAATAAATGGAAATACATCCTATGCTCTTGGCTAGGAAGAATTAATATAGTCAAAATGGCCATCTGACCTAAAGCAATCTACAGATTCAATGCAATCCCTATCAAAGTACCAACAGCATTCTTCAATGAACTGGAACAAATAGTTCTAAAATTCATATGGAACCACAAAAGACCCCGAATAGCCAAAGCAATCCTGAGAAGGAAGAATAAAGCAGGGGGGATCTCGCTTCCCAACTTCAAGCTCTACTACAAAGCCACAGTAATCAACACAATTTGGTACTGGCACAAGAACAGACCAACAGACCAGTAGAACAGAACAGAGAGCCCAGATATAAACCCAAGCAAAAATGGTCAATTAATATTACCAATGGATATACAGTGGGGAAATGACAGTCTCTTCAACAGCTGGTGTTGGCAAAACTGGACAGCTACATGTAGGAGAATGAAACTGGATTATAGTCTAACCCCATACACAAAAGTAAACTCGAAATGGATCAAAGCTGAATGTAAGTCATGGAACCATAAAACTCTTAGAAAAAAACATAGGCAAAAATCTCTTGGACATAAACATGATCATGAACAACTTCTTCATGAACATATCTCCCCAGGCAAGGGAAACAAAAGCAAAAATGAACAAGTGGGACTATATCAAGCTGAAAAGCTTCTGTACAGCAAAGGACACCATCAGTAGAACAAAAAGACATCCTACAGTATGGGAGAATATATTCATAAATGATAATCCAATAAAGGTTTGATATCCAAAATATATAAAGAGCTCACCTACCTCAACAAACAAAAAGCAGATAATCCAATTAAATGGGCAGAGGATCTGAACAGACACTTCTCCAAAGAAGAAATTCAGATGGCCAAAAGGCACATGAAAAGATGCTCCGCATTGCTAATCATCAGAGAAATGCAAATTAAAGCCATAATGAGGTATCACCTCACACCAGTTAGGATGGCCACCATCCAAAAGACAAGCAACAACAACTTTTGGGGAGGATGTGTCCAGTGCTGGTGGGAATGTAAATTAGTTTAACCATTGTGGAAAGCAGTACTGAGGTTCCTCAAAAAACTAAAAATAGAAATACCATTTGACCCAGGAATTCCACTCCTAGGAATTTACCCTTAGAATGCAGGAGCCCAGTTTGAAAATGACATATGCACCCCTATGTTTATCGCAGCACTATTTACAATAGCCAAGAAATGGAAGCAACCTAAGTGTCCTTCAGTAGATGAATGGATAAAGAAGATGTGGTACATATACACAACAGAATATTATTCAGCCATAAGAAGCAGGGAAATCCTACCATTTGCAATAACATGGATGGAGCTAGAAGGTATTATGCTCAGTGAAATAAGCCAGGTGGAGAAAGACAAGTATCAAATGATTTCACTCATCTGTGGAGTATAAGAACAAAGAATAAACGGAAGGAACAAAACAACAGCTGACTCACAGAACCCAAGAATGGACTGACAGTTACCAAAGGGGAAGGGACTGGGATGGATGGGTGGGAAGGGAGGGATAAGGGGTAAGAAGGGCATTAAGGATTAGCACACATGGTGTGTGGGATGGGCATGGGGAAAGCAGTGCAACACAAAGACAAGTTGTGATTCTATAGCATCTTACTATGCTGATGGACAGTGACAGTAATGGGGTATGCGGTGGGGACTTGATAATGCGGGAGTCTAGTAACCATAATGTTGCTCATGTAATTGTACATTAATGATACCAAAATAAAAATAATACAATAAATAAATAAATAAATCTCCTTCTGAAAGACAAGTACCAAATGATTTCACTCACTTGTGGAGTGTAACGATAAAGCAAAACTGAAGGAACAAAACAGCAGCAGTCTCACAGGCTCCAAGGGACTAGCAGATACCAAAGGTAAGGGAGTGGGGAGAGTGGGCGGGAAGGGAGGGAGGACGGGATTAAGGGGTGCACTGCAATTAGCACACACAATGTAGGTAGGTCACCAGGAAGGTAGTGCAGCATGGAGAAGACAGGTAACGACTCTATAGTATCTTTACTACACTGATGGACAGTGATTGCTTGCAATGGGATGAAAGGGGGACTTGAAAATAATATGTGTGAATGCTGAAGCCACAATGTTGCTAATGGGAAACCTTTATAAGATTGTCTATCAATGATACCTTATTTAAAATAAATAAATAAATATCCTTCTTTCTGCACACACACACACGCACAATTGCTTCTGTTTCTCTGGAGATCTCTGGCTAAGGGACCATGAACAGACCACAAAATTTCACAATCCTGTATTGCACAGAACTAGCTGGGGGGAAACACTACTGTAGAGAGCTATATAACAAGACAGATGCATGGAGTATACCTTTTTGCATTTTGCCACTGTTTAGTCCCCACATCAGCAATCCACCTGTTTACAGTCACTTCATTCAATGTAGGAATTTTCCTCCTCAGATTAACATAGGGATTCTGTAAAAAGAAGAAAAACATATTTAGACCCAACAGAAACAGGTATCCAGCTTTAGACACATTCTAAGGAGAGTGGGTAATGAAGATTTTTAAACATGGATAATACAACTCTGGGGAATCATAAAGTGAGATTCTATTAGCAATCAGTTGATCATTTCCCTGTTTGCCAACTTCATGTCCAGGAGGATTTTAGATACAAAGTAAATTTCTGAGCATCTCAACATCCAGCACTTCACACAGAAGTGGTAGGATTAAAATGCACATCATAAAGCCTTGAGGGGAAGATTCTAAAAGGAGTATGTACAGAAGTAGAAGAAACTCAACTGGCCATGGTGAACCAGGGTGAGAAGTTATGGACTGATTATTCATAAGCCTGTGAACCTTGGGTCTTTTTTAGTATTGGCTAGCAAAGTCATTTCAGAATGTCAACCTGTTGGCTTGCTAGGACACTGACCCGATACTACTGGCAAGGCAAAAGTTAAGCAAAAGTAAGGAGATCCCTCTGATTTGACAATCACCAGGGACAAACCTGCTGGTTTTTTTGGGTAAAAATTTGTATAGTTTAGACAATAAAAGATCAATAACATCTAGCTATTCACCAAATGTCAGCTTAGTAACCTGATGATTTAAGGAATCACCACTGGATTCTGGAACCCTTCATTTTGCTTAAAGGACCAAGTGACAGAACATCTAGAAATCTATTTTTACCTCTCTTTCCAACCAGAGCAAAATGCTTTGATTCCCTCCAGCAATCATTATTAACTCCTTTTCTGAGGCATGGCTCTCTAAAAGGGAAATACAAAGTAGGATTTTAAACAAGTTAGTTAGCACAAACATGCATACTCAATGTAAATACTTTCAGGCTCTTAAGAAACTTAGTCCTTTTATCTTTCTGACAGACCAAGACACAGCACACTTTCCACCCATGAAGCAGAAATAAAGCTGACCCTTGAACAATATGGGTTTGAACTGCATGGGTGCACTTTCTACATGGGGCGTTTTTCAATAAATATATTAAAAAAATTTTTTTAATAATCCCAGCAATTAAAAAAAACTTTTTCTAGCTTATTTTAAGAATACAGTACACAATACATATAACATACAAAATATGTTAATCAACTTACAGTAAGTCTTTCAGTCAGAAGGCTATTAGTAAAGTTTTAAAGAGTCAAAACTTATATACACACTTGCAAATGTGCAGAGGGTCAGTGCCCCTAACCCCCAAGTTGTTCAAGGGTCAACTATAAATAAAATACAGTCAAATATTTGATTAGTTAAGTGTTTCCTGGATTAATTTTGCTTCTATTACTAAATGCCACATTCTACAACTCAAAATTCAACTCACAACTTGGCTGTGAAGAATGTAAATAAGTACTTCAGAAGTCTAAGTGGTTGCAAGAAAGAACTGGTTTAAAGGAAATAGCCCTACTGCTCATTTCTCAGAAGTGAGGCTTTTGGTATTTTAGGCTACCACTAGGTTTTCAGATAAAAGTAGCCAAAGTGCTCTGAGGCATTTCTATACTCTGGAATGTTTCAGAGCTCAGGCTCCCAGTCATGCAGGGCGCAGTTCAAATCCTGCCAAACCTACTGGCCACAAGAATCAGCTAACCCTACACTCTCCAAGTTGCTCTGCTTTTCTCTCCCCCAGTAAATGGGACTGAGAATACACATCTCCCAGAACTGCTCAAGGGTAGATGAAATAACATGTGTTATGGTGCCCAGGCTATTGCAGATCCTCATTACTCTGAGGGTTTTACATGATTATGAGTTCATTTAACCAGGTAAGAAAGCCAATCACCATAGAATGAACAGGTTACTTTCAAACTGAAATAAGAAGTCACATATGCTGATTTTACAGCATCTTACTATGTTGATGGACAGTGACTGTGAACGGGTATGTTGGGGGACTTGGTGAAGGGGGGAACCTAGTAAACATAATGTCCTTCATGTAATTGTAGATTAATGATACCAAAATAAAATTAATTTTAAAAAAAAGTCACATATGCCTCTGAATTCATATAGTCTATTTTATGTTGTATCATTTGAGTCCACATAAATTGTAATCTGAAGGGGTAAGAGAAAACCAATGGTTATTCTGACTTAGTGAATTCAAGTGGGTAATTTAAACTGTTAACAAGTAAAAAAATGAAGCTGGTATTTAGAGGAACTCCTTTCATGGTCATACATTTCTTTTCTTGACACATTACAAACTTAGAAAAATCAGTTTCTCAACAAAGGTATTTATGCCAAATCCTGTGCTCCTATGGAATTTACCAAATTTGAGCTCTTCATCTGACGGCAATTTCATGGGAAGTGGTATCAGCTGATTCTGTGTTCCACTGCTTCCCAGTTGTCCTTCTTTTCCAGAACCAAAAGAAAAGACCTTCCCCAAATCAGAAACATAGGCAAGTGTGTGCCACCTATTAAATAAAAGCACATACGCTCAATTCTCAATTGTCCACAATGACGAGAGTATGCAGCAACATGGTGAACTGCTGCCATTAGGTTACCCAGTGGATGGAACTAGTTAAACAACACCCCATGAATGAAATTAGCCATCTGCAGACTGTGAAATCATTCATGTGTGGCGGAGATGATTTTGGAAGCAGTAAATCTACTCAAAACACCTTGGCTAATGGTGTTTCCTTTCTCAGGAACAAGCATCTTCCCCACCTTCTACTCTTTTTTCAAGCCTTGGCTTTAGAGTTACCACCTCTTGGAAGCCGTGTCTGAGTCCCTCCTTTACCCACCCTAGAAGATGGAATTTGGTGATCCTCTGAGCTCATACTCTATTTCCCTAAGATCTTTGATTTATCACACTATTTTCTTACTCATTTGCTCAATGGTCTCTGCCACTACATAGATGCATGAAGAATTTTAGCCTTGCTCAAACAGAGGTCAAGCCTTTATCCTCAGTTCCCGGGAGGTAACTCTAAATCCATAGAATTTCCCCAGTGATAGAAGTGTCTTTGTTATTCATAGTAGGCCCCTCAGGCTGCAGCTAATAGATCATCCAGGTGGCTGGGAGAGCCTCTCTGACTGCGGGTTAGCACAACCTAAGTGAGGGAGAGGCAGGAGGTTGAGTTCAACTTTGTGGGCAGTGATTCAATCAATCATGACTAACCAACGAAACCCCAGTAACAACTCTGGACTTGGGTGAGCTTCCCTAGTTGGCAATACTCAACACACAATCATATATCAGGCCGGGAGGTGGTAATACCATCCACAGCTCCACAGGGAGCATACACTGGAAGCTCCTCTTCCAGCTCCTTCCTAGACTCTCTGCATCTCTTCCTTCGACTAGTTCTAGTTTGTATTCTCCTACCTTGCAATTAATGTGACCATGAATATAAGAGCTTTTAGTGAGTTCCATGAGTCTTTCCAGTGAGTTCTCCTGTGTTAGTAAGGGTACTGATTTGGTTTGCATTAAAACATCTCTAATGTGGTAACTCCTATTGTAACACATGCTACTCAAAGAGAAATTTGTTATAAAAAATCCAAAGTGGTAATAATATTTTTTGGTTAACACAGATACCCAACGCAGAGAATTATACCATTGCAATAATCTGTTATAATTTAATATCCACTTCATGTAATTTTACTCCAAGATCGTAACAGAATACTTTACAGACTGAAAGTACATACACCAGTTTTTTTATAGTAAAGGTTTCAATAAACAAATGAACCCAATATTTAGATAGGGTCTGAACTTGCTTATGTTTAATGAGGAGAACGTTGCTTAAAAGAAGAAAAAATGCATCTGGGTGAAAATATTTCTTAGCTCCAACCAAGACCCAAGATCCTACTGGTGAGAAGTGTACTGACTGATGTTCAAGGAAGATAATTAAGTAAACCAATGAGTCTGATCAAGTTTTGTTGTTAAAAAAAAAAAGAGCTATGAAAATCAAACTTCTCAGGGTATTCTACTTAGTAAACCAACTGTCTTATACTTTACTGTGATCACTCTGAAAGAATTATGGTAACCAAGAATGTTGGCCTTGAGGAGTTATGAAAGAAAGTGAGTACATCTATGAATAATCTTTTTTGATTCATGTTTGTTTTTTTCCCAAATAAAGGGTGACTTATTTTTCTTAAAAAAAAAAATGCACTTGAACAGGTACAAAGGTATTTCACTAAAGGGGCAACAGGAAGTAAATATATCTGTTCATTAAAAAAATAAAAGAAAACAAACATATATACACTAAAAGATTTATGATTATCTAAAAATGTAAATTAAGCATCTTCACATAGCTGAAAATGTCACTGACACTGTATAACTTACCTTCCACAAGCTAACTGGGTCACTCTATTCCCAACAAGCTCAGTCACCAAACGTGGTCTTAATTCATTCTCTGTTGAATTATGACCAAGTTGCCCGTATATTCCAGCGCCAAAAGTATACACCAGCCCATCCTAAGGAAAGGGAACATAACATCAGATTCCACAGAAATACGCCACAGAATATTCGCTGACGCACAGCCATCAGTGAATAATTAACAAAAGCACTGTCAAAGCAAAGTCTCCACATTATCAGGTGGGAGGTATGACCTTTCTTCCCTGGGAAACATGAGCTGCCCACACTTAGGTGTTCTAGTGCTTTCCCTACTACAAAGGGTTCCTCCAGAAATACAGTCCAAGAAGTAAGGGTACACGCACCTTTGTGAGCAGGGCAGCGTGAAAGCCACCACATGTGAGAAATTCAACTTTCTGAGGTGTTCTAGTGCTTTCCCTACTACAAAGGGTTCCTCCAGAAATACAGTCCAAGAAGTAAGGGTACACGCACCTTTGTGAGCAGGGCAGCGTGAAAGCCACCACATGTGAGAAATTCAACTTTCTGATTGTCCAGGGCTTCAATAAGGGAAGGAGACTCTTTATCTATGCAAAGGAAAGAATGGTTGAACTGACCAAAAGGAAATGCTGAATTTCATACTAGACATTCAAGCTGCTGGTAAAAATACCCAAACCACTTCCTTTCACCTACCAGTTAAGTCCCCAACATGTTCTGGGGGACAAGCCCTCCCTAGGCCTGTACGGTGGGGCACTCACCTGTGACTGTCAAACACATTTTCTGAGCCCATTCTTCTCTTTTAACTTGACTAACTTTAACTGCAGCAAATCTGGTATTTCCAACTCCCAAGTAGAACTACCCTTTTAATGAACATAAGTTATTTTCTTTCAAATTCTCTACTACAGTGTCCTTGCCTTACATCACCTCTTCTTTCTCTCACAATTATTTGTCAAAGCACTTCAAGATTTAGTAAAAAAATTAACTGCCCTTTATTCCTTTCCCTCCTTTAAATATTTTTCTAACACCAACTTAAGGGTTCTCCTTCTTAACTGGCACTGGACCACATCAGGGAGAAATGCAGTTTGACCAGTAAGCTAGGGGATAATATGCCCATTTCCACAGCTGATAAAGCAGCAGCATCTGCTACACCTGAAAATTCTAACAAGATGTTCGGGTATTAAGAAATTCTGTCATCTGCATTGTGAGGTAGTTCAAAAACAGCAATTACGTGTGTGCGTGTGTGTGTACACAGATGTTACCTTAAATAACATCTTCTTAACACCTTATAGAAAATGTTTAGGATATGTGAATTTCTAAACAGAACATTAGTGTCCTTTTGTCATAAGATGATATTAGTAGCCATTTTAAGTTTACAAGCACTTTGGAAGTGATTTCATCAAACTGATCACTTTACAGAAAAAGAAACCAAAGCCTAGAGAAAAATGACATGGCAAGGCCCTGTAAAGTGGGAAAAGAACGCAGGTATTCTGATCCCCAGGCAATGCTCTTTCCCTTGTCCCACACGGCCCTGACGTATGTCAATCAGGGCAACAACTTCCACACAATGCATGGCTGTTAGACTGATTCTGTCCTGAAGACCAGAGATGAACAGGGAGCACAGCACAAATTAAAGCAAGTATGTGTACCATTTCTGACAGGGCGGTCTGTGTTACATTCATCTCTACTATCTAATAAGTACATACACTGATAATATGCATCTGAAAACATGTTTCCATACTTTTGGTGTGGCCCAGACCGAGTTGTCCAAAATCATTTCTTCCCCATGAGTAAATGTTTCCAGACATGGATAAAGCCATGCTATGGGCTTCTCCTGCAGAAATCTGAACCAAGGGGACTCCTGAGAGATGCTCCACAATCTCTGGTGTAGGGGTTGAAGCAAATATTCTTCCAACTCCAAGCTGGCCATATGAATTCTGTCCCCATGCAAAAAGCTCACCACCTTGACAAAAAAGAAGAAAATGCTGTCTTATTATGTTTAAAATGCAGCAGACATTACCCTGTAGTATTATATGTTATTCATACTATACTATTACAATCTCTGATACTCATCTTCTCAGATCCCATACGTCTGAGTCAGAAAGATCAGAAGAATCTTCTCTTCAGTTTAAGTTATACCTCCTTACTCCTACCTCACAGGGTAGTGTTATGGACTGAATGTGTCCCTCAAAGGCTCATGTTGAAATCCTAACCCTCAATGTGATGGTATATGGAGGTGGGGCCTTTGGTAGATGATTAGAAGAGATTATGAAGGTGAAGTCCTCATGAATGGGATTAGTGCCCTGTAAGAGACCCAGAAAGCACTTGCCCTCTCCACCATGGAAGACAGATCCTCACCAGACACTGTATCTGCTGGCACCTTGAATTGGATTTCCAGCCTCCAGAACTGTTCAGAAATTAATTTCTGCTGTTTAAACGACCCAATCTGAGATATTTCTGCTGCAGCAGCAAAAACACACAAAGGAGAGGTAGAATGAAGCTATCTGAACATATAATCAAATTTGAGAAATACTTACTTTTAAAAACCCACAGGATGGGTCCACAAAAAACAGAAACATTCTATATGTAGGAAAATAAAAACTAAAACTACTGTTTTTCTCTCTACCTCCTCCCCACCCCTTAATGTGCCTGAAATCCTAATAAACAATTGAAAAATACATTTGAAATTGTAGCACAGTATCTTTACACTGTCAGCATTAATGGAATATATGGAGTTCTTAGATGTTATCTAATGGAACTGACAATACCTAATGGAGTCTGAAAAAATGTATCTGAGCAACTCTTTTCCAAGATACTGTGCAGGATATGGTGGAAGTCAGAGCCCTTTCTTCAAATAAAATTATCCTGTGCCTACCAGGCACAGGAATATAACAGTGAGCATAATCAAGTTCCCTTTCTTGCTTTCCCAAATTTCATTCTTTCCTAGATTGTGATTTACCAATAAAAAAATCTGAAAACATATTCCTCCTGTACCACTAGCACCTAGGCTTCTTAAAAGCACAGTGTGTCTGTTTTATCTTGATAACCTAAACATGTGGATCCTCAAAACGAAACTTTTGTTCATTAATGTATGAAGTCAAACAACCTGGTTAATTTTTTTCCAATACAAGTTCCTACTCTCAAATTTCCACAGGGCCTTCAGTACAGGTCAAACACTTGATTGTTTACCTCTCTTGAATATCCCAGTTTCCAGTCAGCTCATTATTATGTCTGTTCTGGATATTAAAAAATTTCAATGACCCTGAATTCCCCTCTATGACCCTCCTGTCTTAATTCCTCTATGGTCAAGTTTCTTTAGAAAACAATCCATATCCACTGCTTTTCCCATCATTGTGGTCTCTGATTAAAAGTAGGAAATAATAAAGAGCTTGGGGAATCCCTGAATTCAAAATGTAATGTTAAAACACACCAGAAACCTGCAAATTGGCCACAAAAGCAGACCCAAAGGATTTTGAACTCCAGTCATGGGAGCTAGAAGAACATTAGGAAATGGGAAGAAGGTTCTGGAAAAGGGTGGCCTATGCCTGCTCCTGATTTCAGAGAAAATGATTTTGATTATTCAGAGTATTTTCTTTGTTTCATATTTGAAAAATAAAAACTAGGAACTGTTGAAATAAATCTCTAGACTTAGGATGGAGCTGCTCCTTCCATATATATATATAAGGAAACAGAACTGTGTTCCTATAAAAGTGCCACTTGACTGGAAATAGTATATCCAGTCAGCCAATCCCCATACACCAAGCCAACTATGGATCCATATCAATTTATTTGTTCTTACTTAAAAGTAAGGTCAGAAGTACAACCCCAGCCAATCATGCTCCATTTCAGCAATTTGGTTTCAAATGCTCTATAAAATTCGCTTTTGTCCAAAATCCCTCAGGAACAGTGCTCCACTGCTTGAGAGGCACTGTAACCCCCATCCATGGATTGGGTCCCTTGAATAAAGGACATCAAACACTATGATGAAATTGTTTTAGTTTTGTCATGTAACAGAACAAATGTAGTAGTAGTAATTTTGGATACCTGGAGATTTTACAGGTCCATAAATTCTCTCATTTTTCATCTCCTTTAAGAACAGTGTTCTGAACCATATCACATTCAAAACCATATTTCTGTCCTGTTACAAAGTAAAATACACATTCTACTAGTTCTACATTTATACATATGTATTCCTGTCTAGGAAACAATTAATATTCCAGAAAAGTACCTTTTGAAAGTGCAAGAGAATGATAATCCCCACATGTGATCCGAATTATACTTTTTTCTTGTAAAATGCATTGAAACCTATTGAAAGAAAATATATTTTATGTTAATCATAACCATTATGTTAATCAGTCACAACATCAATGTTAAAATTAATTGTATTTAAGATTGAAACGTAGGAAAACATTTTTAATTTACTGCTTCACATCTAGTACATCTAAAATTATTATAAAAATACTACCACGTTTTAATTATTGGTTTAACAGGAAAATAATGTGTACAGTATAATTGCAAATAGTAATTTTATAATGCAGGACTAATACAAGATGGATGTAAGTTTTGTTTACATAATCTACTAGGAAAAAGTCTCACAAATCATTCCATGATGAGGCTTTTTTTCCCCCTAGTCTGAGAACTTTTATTTCTGGAAATCTCACTTACAGGATTATTATGAGAGTTGGGTGAGCTAATGAATGTGAAAATCCAATTTGGGACTAGGTGAACTAACCAATTATTACCTTTAAATATCAAAGCAACATATGATACATGCCCTAGGAGACATAAATTGGTTTGTAGTTTACTGACAAAATTCACTGGTCAGTTCAGAATTGTTTTATTTAAGATGACACTAAATAAAACAGGGGAAAGGATCATATGAAGTAGTATTTTCCTACAAAAATTAAGATTTTCTTTTTGAATAAAATTTAAATAATTTTTAATAAAAAAGTTCCCTACCTTGCATGTTCTATGCTATAGTTGTACTCAAATGGTTTTCCATCTGAGGATAGAACCAGCATGTGCTCTGCTCCTTGATCCACGGAATGTATCTTCATTTTTTTTCCTAACTTAATGCACTCTGCAGAGCAAATCCAACCAAGAACTATCATCACTCTAATTATTACCCATTATTACTACTGACTTTATTATAATATACTTAAAACACCTGAAAAAAAATTCAACTAGACAACCTTTGAGTTAAGATGAACTTCTCTTTAAAGAAAATCCGTGCAGGCAAATCAACAGTGACTATTGTTTTGACAATGGATTTTTAAAATTGGGAAGTACTGATTCATATTGTTTTATTGAGCACACCCTAAAAATAGTTCATTAATATATTTGTTTTTAGATTCCTGGGTAATAAGTTGAGACAAAGAATGAAATTTGAAGTGACAAATGAAAAAACCTGTAAGAAAATATAACAACTCATTTTAGCAGCAAATATATGGTGTATTCTAAGATATACCATTTCCAAAATACAAAACAAGTAACAATAATAAATACCTCCTGATTGCTCCATACAGAAGCCAAAGCCTATATTCTTAAAAGAAATTGTGTTGGGGGCAGTTTTTAAAGTGGATATTGTTAAAAGAATTTTTATTGGCATTAGTGCATATTTTTAGCACTTTCCAAAAGTTGAAAGATTTAAAACTGTCCACTAGTTACCATTTACTCTTATTTAGTTTGCTCACAAAAATTAAAGTAAGATAGATTTGGGAAGCTGGTCATTCATTTCTAATGAAATAGAATCTATTCAAGTAAAAATCTCAAAGCACAAACCACTTCATATTACGAATGCTATGAGAATCAAAGAGTTTGGTAATAGAGAAGAAATGGCTCATCAGACTAACGTTTTTTAGAGGTTCCGCATTTTTAAAAAGTTGGAAAAAAGGTTGTTAAAAAAACATTGGCACATCAGGCTAGCCATCTGGAGAAACGAATAAATAAACCTAGATTCTCCTATCTTACTCCTTAAGTCAAAATAATTTCGAAGCGTACCAAAAACATTAACTCTGAAAACAAAAGCCTTAAATTACTGTAAAGATGAGTACATTAAAAATAAAACTTGGAATGTGGATAGCTTTCTAACGTAACACAAAATCCATAAGCCGCCTTCGAAACTGAGGAAGTAGATATAAAACAACGTCAACTAAAGGCAAGCGGGGAAAAAATTACCACGTATGTAACCGATAAAGGGCTACTCTTAATATTCAAATAACTCTTTCAGATAAATAAGGAAAACTAACAACTCGATTTTTTTAAAGGCAGGCAAAGTTATGAAGAGGCAGTTCACCAAAAAGGAATGTAAACGACCAACATACATATACACAAAAGGTGCTCGCATTCGCTCAAGTTAAAAGCAAAACGAATTTTATACTGTAAAGTATTCTATTCTTTACTCAACAGACGAAATCTTAAAGATGGAGAGTGTGTCCGTTTGCTTTCCTCACCAGCGAAACCCAAGCCGCAGTACCTGATCGAATCTATACGGAGACTGCCACCTTGGAGAAGTGCGACTGAAAGCACGCTTTAAATAGCTTGCAAACTTAGGATATATCGTTGAGAACGACGTAACTATTTTCTCCAAAGGTTCACAAAATCAGAGCAGTACATTCTAAAAATAAGGTAAGTGGAGAGCAAACTTTCGAACATAACCAATTATAAAGGCACGGCTAAGACGACGGAGCGGACGCCTTATTTCTCTCCACAGCCCGACTCGGCGCCGACTCCCCGCAGGGATGAAGGCGGCCTCGTGGATGCTGTGCGCGGCACGCACCACACGCCACCCGGGCCGGGCGCGGGTCCACGGACCCCACCGGCCGCCGCAGCTCCGCCCGGCTTCGGAGTTTCACCTCAAGCCGGACCACTATGGAAAGCGCCCGTGCGGACGCCGGCTCCCGGCCGCCCACCCTCCACGCAGCCCGGGGCGGGGCGGCCGAGCGGGCGCTGCCGGGCCCCACTCACTCGGCTTCCTGGCGCTGTCGCTCGCCGCCCACAGGTCGTGGACCTCGACGCCGGCCCCGCCGCGCTCCAGCACCACCAGACGTTCGCGCGCGCAGCACATCTGGCGAGTCGCCTCTGTCCTTTGGGACAGCGCCATGCGGAGGCCCGCGGCGCAGGGGAAGAGCCAGAGCTGCGCGCCCTGCGGCTCCGCCGCGCGAGACGCGACGGACCAGGCCGCGGCGGCCACACCGGGAGCCGAGCGCGCGCCGCTCCGCGACATCCTCTGTGGCCTTGGCTCCGTCGTCGCTTTCGCGGGCTCCACGGTGCGCCTCTGCTCTCCGGACCTTCGGTGGAGACGGAGTCCAATCACCCGCCAGGCAAAAGGAAAGACGGGAAGCTCTGAGGCCTGAGGACGTCCACCGCCCGGGGCGTCGCGGTGCCGAGCGGGAGACAGGCAACCGCACAGCTGCCTCGGCTACCCGCAAGCTCTGCTCAACCGCGGCTGCTCAGATGTCTGGCTCGCGAGCGCTGTTTGGGGGCGGAGCCTGCAGGTCAAGTCGGAAACGAAACTGATTTTATTTTTAAGGGGGCAGAATCGAAATGGAAAGAGAAAGGGAAACGAACGACGCGAGAATGGCCTAGAAGGCGGCCCAAATAAACGGAGTGCTGGTGGGTGATGGGTTGGGGAGCGGAGCTGAGAAGGTGTTCCCGGAACGGGCAGCAGTCACCTCAACTCCTGGACCACATGGCTTTCGAAGAATAACCGAAATTCCACAAAGAGGAGCCTTGTCACATGCGAACTTGTACAGAAACTACCGTTGTAAGGGAAGTTTGGTAAGCATTTCTGTTACAGGCGCTGCCATCGGATTGCGAAGAAACTGAAAAGAGAAACTATTTACACGGTGCCGGCACAGTGATCCGTCAATAGGTTTTTGACTTTTCTAGAATTTCTTACAATTGCACAAACCTACACAGTCTTTTGTCTTTGCCTTTATTCGCTTAGCATAATGCTTTTGAGATTAATCCTATTGTTTCATCAGTAGTTCCCTTTTCATTATTGAGTAGTATTCCACTATATGGATATAATACCATCTGTTTATTCATTCACCAGTTGTTGATTTTTGAGTCCTTTTCAGTTTTAGCTACAGTGAATAGAGAAGCAATGACTGAGCAAGCCTTTGACAAGATCAATGTTCTCTTTTGGCTAAATACCTAAAAATGGAATTGTTGCATCATACGATAACTACAGGACTTTCATAAGAAACTGCCAGACTTTCCCAAAACACATATACCATTTTGCATTCTCTTCGGCAATTTATGGGAGTTCCAGTTGCTCTGTATGTTTTCTAACATTTGGTATTGTTACTCTTTTTTAACTGTAGTAATTACAGTGGTCTATGGTGATGTCTTAATATTGCGGTTTTAATTTCATTTTCCCTAAGGATTAATGATGTTGAGCATCTTTTCATGTGCTTATTAGTGCTAATCTCTCTCTGGTGAAGGGTCTGTTTACATCTTTTGCCCATTTATTCATTTGATTTATTCAAAAGCTCTTTACATATAGTAGAGTTCTTTATGTTATATATCAAGTCCTTTATTAGATTTTTTGAATGTTTTCTACCAGTCTGTGGCTTGCCTTTTTATGTTATTACATACATCTTTTGAAGAGCTGTTTTTAATTTTGATGGGATTTATCTTTTTTCTTTTATGTAGTTTATGCCTTTGTCTTAAAAAAAAACTTGCTTGAATTATATATGATAAAGGAGCCATGGACATATAATAGGGAAATGACAGCCTCTTCAACAGCTGGTGTTGGCAAAACTGAACAGCTACATGCAAGAGAATGAAACTAGATTATTGTTTAACCCCATACACAAAAGTAAACTCGAAATGGATTAAAGACTTGAATGTAAGTCATGAAACCATAAAACTCTTAGAAGACAACATAGGCAAACATCTCCTGAATATAAGCATGAGCAACTTCTTCCTGAACCCATCTCCTCAAGAAAGAGAAACAAAAACAGAAATGAACTCATGGGACTACATCAAACTAAAAAGTTTTTGTACAGCGAAGGACATCATCAACAGAACAAAAAGGCATCCTACAGTATGGGAGAATATATTTGTAAATGACATATCCAACAAAGGGTTAACATCCAAAATATATAAAGAACTTACACACCTCAACACCCAAAAAGCAAATAACCCAATTAACAAATGGGCAGAGGATCTGAAGAGATGGTTCTTCAAAGAAGAGATTCAGGTGGCCAACAGACACATGAAAAGATGTTCCACATCTTTCTAATCTAAAGATGCAAGACTAACCATCAGGGAAATGCAAATTAAAACTACAATGAGATATCACCTCACACCAGTAAGGATGGCCAGCATCAAAAAGACTAAGAACAAAAAATGTTGGCGAGGATGTGGAGAAAGGGGAACCCTCCTACACTGCTGGGGGGAATGTAAGCTAGTTCAACCATTGTGGAAAGCAATATGGAGGTTCCTCAAGAAACTAAAAAACTAAAAATAGAAATACCATTTGACCCCAGAATCCCACTTCTTAGAATATACCCAAAGAATCAACTTCTCAGATTCAAAAAGACATATGCACCCCTATGTTCATCGCAGCACTTTTTACAATAGCCAAGATATGGAAGCAACCTATATGTCCATCTGTAGATGAATGGATAAAGAAGATGTGGTACATATACACAATGGCATACTATTCAGCCATAAGAAAGAAACAAATCCTACCATTTGCAACAACATGGATGGAGCTTGAGGACATTATGCTCAGTGAAATAAACCAGGCGGAGAAAGACAAGTGCCAAATGATTTCCCTCATTTGTGGAGTATAAGAACAAAGCAAAACTGAAGGAACAAAATGGCAGCAGACTCAAGAGATTCCAAGAATGAACTAGTGGTTACCAAAGGGGAGGGGTGTGGGAGGGCGGGTGGGGAGGGAGGGAGAAGGGGACTGAGGGGTATTATGTTTAGTACACATGGTGTGGGGGATCACAGGGAGAACAGTGTATCACAGAGGAGGGACATAGTGGATCTCTGACATCTTTCTACACTGATGGACAGTGACTGCACTGGGGTATGGGTGGGTACTTGATAATATGGGTAAATGTAGTAACTACATTGTTTTTTCATGTGAAACCTTCATAAGAGTGTATATCAATCATACCTTAATAAAAAAGAAAGCTTGCTTGACTTAACCAAGGTTATAAAAATTTTCTTATACGTTATCTTCCAGAAGTTTTATAGTTTTAGGTCTTTATTACATTTAGAATCAGTTATTCTTTATGGTATGATGTAAGGGTACAGGTTCATTTTTTTTCCTTACAGATTTTCAGTTGTTCCCATTTGCTTTTATCCATTTAATTGCCTTGGCATCTTTGTCAAAACTCTGTTGACTCTATATTATTGAATTTATTCAAGGACTTTTTAATTGTGTCCCATTGATCTACATGTCTGTTTTGCTCCAGTACCACACTGGAGCAAATTCTAATTAAGTTTCAAAATCAGTTTATTCAAATGCTCCACTATTGTCCTTCTTCAAAGTTGTTTTGGCTACTTTAGGTCCTTTGCATTTCCATATATATTTTAGGATCAGTTTATCAATTTCTATAAAATAGACTGTAGGGATTTTGAGATTGCACTAAATTGGATTAATTTGGGAAGAATCTACATGCTGATTAATACTGATTATTCCATCCATGAGCATATCTCTTGGCATTAAAGCTTCTTTAATTTCTTTCACCACTTTTCTAGTTTTCAGTTTACAATTGACCACATTTAAATTTTATTCTTAAGTATTTATTTTTTGATGATATTGCAAATGGTACTTCTAAAATTTTCAATTTATGATTCTTGTGAGTATATAGAAGTAGTTTTTATGTATTGACCTTGAATCCTGAGAACTTTCTATATTTACTTAATAATTTCAGATTGTTTTGTAGATCCTTAGAATCTGCTATAGATGACTATGCAGTCTATAAATAAGGTAGTATTATGCCTTCATTTCCAATCATTATGTTTTTTCTTTTTTTTCTTTGCCCTCTTGTATGGACTGCTACCTTTAGTACTATGTTGAATAAAAGCAATGAAAGTCATCCTTCCTTTGTTCCCAATTTAGTAGCAAAGCATTCACTCAGTCTTAAGCCATTATGAGGTTAGATGTATGTAGACTCTTATCTTGAAGAAGTTCTCTTCTGATCCTAGTCTGCTAAGAGTATTTAGCATACATGAATAGCTATTGAATTTTGTAATATTTCTTTTCTGCCTCTTTTGAAGTAATTATATGATTTTTCTTTGTCTATTACAGTGAAATATAATGGGTTTTCAAATGCATTTCTGGATTAAACCCCACTTGGTCATAAGGTATTATTATTATTTTTCTGCTTCACTGAATATGTATGATACATTAAAATTTTGTAAAAAATTTTTATGTCTGTTTACGAGAGATAATTATAATTTTCTTTCTTTCATGTCTTTGTCTGATTTTAGTATTAGGGTAATGCTGGCATCATAGAATTAATTGGGAAGTGTTTCCTCTTCCTCTGTTTTCTGAATGAGTACGTAAAGAACTGGTACTCTCTCCCTTAAATGTTTACTACAGTTCATTCATTTGCATAAGAAAAGGTAATGCTGGAGTTGAAAGGCCTGAAGGTCACAACCAAAAGTCAGGTGCTTAGGGATCAATAAGATGTTGAGCTTACCTCTTTTCCCTTAAAATTCAAATAGAATACTTCTGGGTCTTCATTACATTTATTGTAGAAATGAGACCTGTCCAAAATAACTCTGAGGATTTGCCGGGGTCTTATGTTTTTATTGTGTACTGTCCTTGGTGCTTTCTCTATTTGTTTTGTTTATCCCCAGGTAAGCCTGCCCTATTTCCACATCAGCATCCCCCCCTGGACCTCACCCCATCATAGTCTTTCCTTTCCCAAAGTACCCCTGACACAAGGCTTCTGTTTATTGTTGGGGATAACAGCAGGCGTTTATAGAATAGCTTACAGTTTAAAAGTTAATATGTGATAGAGCTGGTCTACAAAATTCATTGGCCACACACAGCAACACTTATATATCTCCTTTAATTCATTCTGTAGCCATGATGCTGAGACATATTTCATGTTCTTCATGTTCCCCAAGTACAATTAGACCAGGAGTTCCAGGTTGGACTCTGCATTTAAATGATTCTTGGAACACAGTATTGATTGTAAATCATTATTCAGTGAGTTAATAAGTCCCTTAACAATTAGATTTTTCAAATAAATTATTCAAGAATTGGCTAAAATCAAAACTCTGGAGATATTCCAGATTATAAAATATACATCTGCATGCCTCAAAAATATGTTGAATTAGTTTGTGTCTTTATGTCTTCAAACTTCAGCATTTTTCATATTTATAGTGTTTATTAGATATGCAATATTTTTAAAAATCTGTTCGCTTTTAGTATTCAGTTTATTTTAAAATAGTTATTGTTGAAGAATAATTCAGTGAAAAGCAAACATTCTAATAGTTGAAAGGAAAGGAGCGACACACAGCAGCAATTCACCGGAGAATTCCGCTTTATTAGGGAAAGGTGCTGGGTTATATAGGAAGGGGCATGGGGTGATTGTGGTGTTACTTATACGGGGCTGGTGGCTGGTGGCTAGGTGCTGCGATTGGGAGGGGGGGCGAGAGGTGATTGGGCTTCGGGTGGCGCCAGCGGGAACCGAGGACCCCGAAGAGAAGCCGGAAGTTTGCCATCTTACTGGTGGTGGCCCTTCATTCCCCCGTTTCTCCTCTATGGGGTTGTGGACGTTGCTTTCTCTCTGACTGCTTCCTGCTGAACAGGGGCAGAGAAGGGAGTGAGGGCTTGAGGATTGGGAGGAAAGGATTGATAGGACTCCCCACAGTAAAGACGAGTAGATGTGGACTTCTTCAGGTTGGAAATCAATGAAGGTTCCCTGTAACCATAGGTCGAGGACCTGTTGATTCTAATGGTGCCAAGAGGATATAGGTGTCAGGAGCCAGGCGTCTGCGGCCATTGTTTCCAGGAACAGTTTCCAGAGGGGAGAGGGGTCCATCTCAGCGTGTGGTGAGGAGGTCACGTGAGGGTGAGGGATCTTCTGTGGCCAGAAGCTGGTAGTTCCTGAGTAAAAGCTGGTTGAAAGCTTGATTAGAGATTTTTCCGACTTGGGATTTGATGAACTTTATTATACAGGGTAAGAAGAGACAGGCGAGAAGAATGATTATTATGGGGCCTGCAATGGGCCAGAGCCAGGTGAGGAGGGGGTTTGTTAGTATTGAAGAGAATGGGTTGGAATTGGAAGCAGAGTGGAGGCTGGAGGCAAGGTCGGTGAGTTTGGTAATGTCAGTTTCTACAATGCCGGATTCGTTGATGTAATAGCAGCACTCTTCCCGGAGGAAGACGCAGGTGCCGCCCTTCTCGGCTGTAAGCAGATCTAGGGCCCGCCGGTTTTGAAGGGTGACTTTAGCTAGCGAAGTGACCTGTCTTTGGAGAGAGGCTAGGGAATCGGCAGTGGATGTCAGGGCTCCCTCAAGTTTGGCGTTGAGATCTCTAACTGCCTATAGAGAGTGACCCAAGGCTTCTCCCGAAAACCCTGCCCCAATGGCTGAGGTGATCAAAGAGCTACTGACCATGATGGGAAGGAAAGCAGCTCTTTTTGTGCGCGAGGGCAAGGGAGGTTGGAGCTCAAGAAATTCTGCCATGCTGTAAAGTGTAAACTGTGGGATTAGGGTGATGAGAATGCAGGGTGTATCGGAGTTGAGTTTCAGACTGCCATTACACCAAAAGAAGTGTTCCGGTTGCGTAAAAGTCTTAGAGCCGGAGGTAGGGGTGTAGATAGAGAGGCAGTGAAGTGCGCTGGAGGGGGGTGGAGTTGGGCTTACACAGTGGTGGATGGTGAGATTATCTGCGTATTCTGGTTCCCATAGGGGTATGTCTGCCAGGGGGCAGAGGGGTTGTCTTTCTGCATGGAAGGAGTAGTTGGAAATATTAAGGGGCACGGCGGCCAGCAGTGGGCGCTGTAGTGATGCGCACAAGAAACAATTGGCTGTGTTAAGGGTGTGGTTGAGAAAGATGGTGGTGTCCTGAATGAGCTGTAATGAAGAGTAGGAGAAATGGGAAGAGGGGTGGGGATAAGAAGATGAAGAGGCGCTGTCAAGAGTTTGGATAATGACTTTTTCGGAATGTCTGCTATCTGATGCAACTTGAGAGATCTGGGAATGAGAGGGAACATACTTTCGAGAGATATGAAGGGTACTGTGGAGGGTCGAGGACCCCCCGTAGTAAACTGAGGCTGTGACTCTGGCAGCCCATCGAGAGTCCCAGGGATCTGGGATTGATAAGGAGAATGAGCCGTTGGAATATTTCATGAAACGGTTGGAGGAGTAATATTGTGGGTACTGGAAGTTACTCATGTAGTGAATGGTGCAAGACTAGTAGGGACATCTCCCGTAGGTGTCTGGCCATCGCCTGCAATAGGCTTGTTTTTGGTCATAGAGGAAGCAGAGGTAGGGAGAATAAGGGTAGCTGCTAGTGAACACTTCAGTGGAGGGAGGAAAGTGGAGGTATAAAGGCTCAGAGCAGCTTTTCAGAGGGCAGTCTGGTGTGGCAATGAGGGCAGTAACTTTTGTTTGATGCTGTGTGTAAGTCTGTCTGACTTTGAATCGCCATACAAAGGAGGCTGGGGTGGTGGGGAAGACAATAGGAATGAGGAAAAAAAGCGAGAGAGCAGTAAAGGAGGAAAAAGTCATGATTCGGGTATGGATGGCAAAGGGGGTGAACGGGATTTTGGAGGAAAGAGGACAGTAAGGTCAGGAGTCTGGAGGGAGGGAGAGTCTGTAAACTTTTGTAGGTTAAGAGATCTTTTAGGTGATGTGGGGACAGAATGGTAAGGGGCGCCCTGAATGTCAGTTTATGAGCTTCTTTCTGCAAGAGCTGTCTAGCGGCTAATGCTCGTAGGCAGGGGGCCCATCCCTGAACTGTGGGGTCTAATTGCTTGGAGAGATAAGCTACTGGGGCAAAGGATGGGCCATAATATTGGCCTAGGACTCCTAGAGCTTGACTGGACCTCTCATGAATGTATAATGAGAAGGGCTTCGACAAATCAGGAAGATGGAGAGCTGGGGCTTCCACAAGGGCTTGACGGAGCTTAATGAAGGAGTGTCGGGGTGAGGAGGATAATGGTTTTTTAGGGGGGCTCTTGCTGAGGTTGTATAGGGGTCTTGCCAACAGGGTGCAGGGAGAAGTTAGGGATCTACGTTCTAAAATATCTAGCTAGGCTTAGAAAGGGCCTAGAAAGGAAAGGATTTTTGTCTTGGTTTTGGGAATGGGCAGGTCAGAGAGGAGCCATTTTCTGTCTAAGGTAATGGACTTTCTTTGTTGAGATAGAAGGAATCTGAGGTAAGTGATAGGAGGGGAAGAGATTTGAGCTTTGACGGGGGATACTCGGTAACTTCTGGAAGCTAGAAGGTTAAGTAGGGAGGCAGTGTCAAGTTGAGACTGTTCCCACGAGAGACTGCAGAGTAGAAGATTGTCTATGTATTATAAGGTGGACTTGGAGTGATCATGATGAAACTGTTTGAGGTCCTGAGCTAGGACCTGTCTAAAAATATGGGGACTATCTCGGAAGCTTTGTGGCAAAACTGACCAAGTGAGTTGTTCAGAATGTCTTGTGTATGGGTCCGTCCAGGTGAAGATGAAAAAATCTTGGGAGCAGGGGTCTAGAGGGATAGAAAAATGGGTCTTTGAGATCTAGGACTGAGAAGTGGGATGCTGAGGCTGTATGGATTTGGAACTAAGGGATGGATAGGGACAATGGCTATGTTGATGAGGCGAAGGTCTTGGACAAGGCGGAAAGATCCGTTGGTTTTTTTAACAGCTAATATGGGGGTATTAAATGGGGAGTGAGTGGGTCTGAGGTAATTTTTGTTTAAGAGATCTTGAATGATGGGTTGGAGGCCTATGAGGGCTGAAGTGGTTAGGGGGTATTGGGCCTGACAGATATACTGAGAGGGGTCACGTAATTTGATAGAGGCAGGGGGACATAGGGCCACGGAGGGGCTTGTAATGTCCCAAACTTTGGGATTTACAGGGTGTATGAGGGCAGAACCGGAGCTTTCATTGGGTAGAGGGGGGTCGTCGGCTATGAGGGCCATCAGAAAGGGAGTACTGGGGGCTGTGGGAGTGGATATAGTTATGGAAACGTGGAGGAGGGAAAGGATGTCTCGTCCTAGTAAAGGGATGGGACACTGGGGCATAACCAGGAAGGAGTGGGAGAAAGGTATGGGATTGTCTTGGATTGTGCATAAAAGGGTGGGTGGGGGGTTTAATGGGAAAATCTGTTTACCTCCTACTCTGACTATAGGAGTAATGGCTGGCGTGGTAGGGCCCCGGTATTCTCACAAGACTGAGAAGGTGGCTCCTGTATCTAGGAGGAAGGAGATGGGGTGACCGTCTACTGTTAAAGTAACCCTGGGCTCCTGTTTGGTGATGGAAATGGTCGGGCGAGAAGCCCCCGGGCCCCATCAATCTTCTTCTGCCAGCCCCACTACGGCGGGCTTAGGATGGGGGTTGTTCGTCCAGCCTCCCCTTCGGGTGGTTGGGCAATCAGACCCCCAGTGGCCCTTTTTGTGGCATCTGGGGCATGGGGTGGTAGGAGATCTGGGGGAGGGGCACGCCCTTGACCAATGTCCCTCTTTTCTGCACTTGAAACAAGCTCTTGGGGGGGCTTGTTTGTAGAGGGGCGCCCAGGTTGTGGTTTTATCAGCTGGGCCAACATCTGGAAATTGGCCTGATCAGCCTTTTGTTTACGGCATTCTTTCTCCTCCTCCCGCTTATGGAAGACTTTAAAGGCCACTGTTAGGATCTCAGTCTGTGGGGTAGCGGGGCCCTGTTCTAACTTTTTGAGTTTAGCTTTAATGTCGGGGTAGCCTTGAGCTAGGAAGTATGTCATAAGGACATGTCTTCCTTCAGGTGTTTCTGGGTCCAGGCTGGTATACTGTAATAGGGCTTGAGTGAGTCTGTCTAAGAACTCGGAGGGGGTTTCATCTCTCTTTTGAATTATGTCTTGGAGCTTTTGAAAATTGACTACTTTACAAGCTGCCCTTTTTCAGACCTGCTATTAAGCAGGAGGCAAAAATATCTCGAGAGCGGAGACTCATGGCGGTGTTATAATTTCAGTGTGGGTCTTGTTCGGGGACAGCAGTGGGGCCAGGGGGATAGGTGGGGTCAGTCCTGTGGGTTTCAGTAGCCTGCATTTGGGCGAAGTCCTAAACTCGTCTACGCTCTTCAGGGAGGAGAGTATTGGCCAGGAGCATGAAAATGTCATGATGTGTGAGGCTGTAAGACTGGAGGGTCTATTGAAACTCCCTGATGTATGTCATGGGATCAGTGGAAAAGGAACTTAGGCGTTTCTCTAGTTGGGCTAAATCTCTTAAGGAGAAAGGGATGTGAACGCGCACGCTGCCTTCGGATCCTGCTACCTCCCGGAGGGGGGCGATAATTTTGGGAGGCTCTCGGGACTGAGTCTGAGGGGGACTGAAGGGTTCTGGCTCAGTCTGTGGGGGAGTGACGCGGTCTAGCCGTGCCTAGTCGAGCAGGTCCTGAAGTGCAGAAGGGGGGCAAAGAAAATAAAGAAAGATAGAATCGGACCCACATGTCGCCAGCTAGCAGCCCAGCTGCTTACTTCTGCCGCTCTAGTTGGGCTTGAACTCATGACTCTGAGGTTAAGAGTCCCATGCTCTACTGAGCTACAGCAGGGCTCCAGTTAATTGCTTATGGAATGCGTTGTTTTCTATTCCTGCCACATCGGCAAGTGGGGGAAGGGCATAGCTAGAAGCAGGGGCGGTGTTTCTACACATCTTCAAGGTCTCCCTATTTTCAGAGTGAGGAGTCTTGGCAAGATATGTTTTTGTGGACAGATAACTTCTAAGGACTGCACCGGTTGTTCTCTAGCTTGTGCTTTCCCATGCTGCGTTCAGACATGGGGGGAGGTGCTTTCCCATTCTCTCTACAAACATGTGAGAAGACAAAGGCGGTCCCTAACAGGGGAGAAACAGGTGATGAGGGCAAAGACGGAGGAGGCCCCTGGGACCTAGTTAAAGGGGGGCTGAAAGGCTCAGGCTTAATCTGCAGGGAATGAAGGTGGAGGAGGTGAGATGGGGGAGGAGATGGTTGGGGAGGAAGGGAGAAGGGCTGTTGTAGGAGAAGAAGGGGAAGGGAGTGAACGGGAGGCTTCTGCGGGGGCGGCGGCTTGCAGGCTAGGAGAACTTGGGAGGGGGCGGGGAGAGGAGGAGGCGGAAAGCTTCGATATAGGGAATCTCCTTCCATTTTTTCAGGCGCTGGCAGTAGTTAAAAAGATCGCGAGTGATGTTAGGATCAAGAGTTCCCCCTGCGGGCCATTGGTTGTTATTGTCTAGGGGGTATGTCGGCCAATCTTGGGAGCAATATTTACGGAGAAGTTTTGGTTTTATATCAGGCGTCAGGGAGAGGGTAGCCAGATGCTTAAGCAGGCATTCAAGAGGTGAACTTTCAGGGAGGGATGAGGAGGCTCCCATGGCTAAAGGACAGAGAAGGAGACAAACAGGGGAAGACGAACGGAGATCCTCGGACTGGAAGCAGACCACAAGGAGACAAAGGGCGTCCCCGATGATCCTTGGTGGTCTGCGGAAACTCGTATACGAGTCGGAATTTCTTGGGAAGTGTGGGTCGTCACCCAGACTTCCCTAAGAAGGCAGAGTGCCGGAGTCACGAGGTACCTAGCGCTAGGCGTTTTCGGCGGACGGAGCAGAAGGAGGAGGGGGGGAAAAGGGAGCGTTCTCATCCACAAAGGAGTCACCTCGTTTATGGCTGTTGGAGGGGGGTGCCTGAGAGTCAGCCGCAGCCGTGAAGGCCTGAGGCGGGGATTTATGACTGTCGGAGGAGGGGCCTGAGCGTCCGCCGCAGCCGTAAAGGCTTGAGGCGGGGATTTATGGCTGTCGGGGGAGGGGCCTGAGGGTCCGCCGCAGCCGTGAAGGCCTGAGGCGGGGAGCGTTCCCTCCTCGTCCCCGAGCGTCAGGGCCTTGCCGGACGATCACGGTCAATGGCACTGCGATAGCTCGGGGAAGAGTGGCCCACCCCGGGGAAATTTTGCTTAAAAACTTTCAGCACTGATGGAAGGGACGGTGAATGCGTTTATGACTGTCGGAGGAGGGGCCTGAGCGTCCGCCGCAGCCGTAAAGGCTTGAGGCGGGGATTTATGGCTGTTTGGGGAGGGGCCTGAGGGTCCGCCGCAGCCGTGAAGGCCTGAGGCGGGGAGAGTTCCCTCCTCATCCCCGAGCGTCAGGGCCTTGCCGGACGATCACGGTCAATGGCACTGCGATAGCTCGGGGAAGAGTGGCCCACCCCGGGGGGAAAACTTACCTAAAGGCCAGAGAGGAGTGGTGAGTGTGATGAGCCAGCGCCGGAAAAAGAGGACGAGGGCAAGCTGCTGCTGGTGTCGGGGGAAGACGGGGCCCAGTTGGGGTGTCCCGTCTCCCGGGTTTCGGCACCAATGAAAGGAAAGGAGCGACACATAGCAGCAATTCACCGGAGAGTTCCGCTTTATTAGGGAAAGGTGCTGGGTTATATAGGAGGGGGCATGAATTGATTGAGGTGTCACTTCTACGGGGCTGGTGGCTGTTGGCTAGGTGCTGGGATTGGGAGGGGGGCGAGAGGTGATTGGGCTTCAGATGGCGCCGGCAGGAACCGAGGACCCCAAAGAGAAGCCGGAAGTTTGCCATCTTACTGGTGATGGCCCTTCAATAGTAAGTTTAGGGATCAGGAAATATTGATTCATTAAAAATATTGTCCTTGATTCATCACTTTGTTTATCCCAACATTTGTCCACTAGTTGATTAAAGTCCAACAACACTTTGTACTCATTTGCCCAAAGGAAGAACAGAAGAATTGCAGGATGAGAGGACCTGAGAATCTGAGACCTCATCGAGACTCTTAGAGTCACTGTTACTCTGTGACCCTGGGTAAGACAAATCCTCTGTTGCTATTGATGACTATTTGAAGTGCTTTCTCCACTCTTTCCATTATAGAATATTTAGGGAGGTCCAGAATAGTATGACGTATCAATAATCTCAGGTTATCTCTTTCACTGAAAGTTTCAGGACAGTGAAGCAGGATTTCCATTTCCTGTAATCCTCTTATATGCAGCCTGCCATTTCATCTAAGAAAAACTACAAAGGAATAAACTTTGGCTAAGATAGGTTGCAGAAAGATCAAAACTTAAAATGAAAAGGAAGAAATTAGTCACTTCATTTAACAAATAGTATTGAGTATTCTTATGCAGAGAAAACTATATGGACCATATGGAACATAGAAAACATAACATTTGGTCTTCGTCTCCAGTGAGTTCATGATATAACTGAGGAGAAATTACATACATGAAAAGATAATAGCAAGTTACAAGGAAGTTTAATGTGGTGCAACAGAAAGTATGAGGTGAGAGCCCACAGAGCCCTGAGACTCAGGGCAGGGAGAAAGCACCAGGCTGGGATAGCCGGGGCTCCTCAGAGGTCACATCTGGCTAGTTAGTTCTCAAGGAGAAGATTTGGGTGAGCTTTGAAGACACGGGAAGAAAGCCCCAGAGAAGGCCAGAGATGGGAAGAGGTAAGATGACAGACCCACTGGGCAGAAGCAAGCGTTTTCCATTAAGAAAGAAGATTGGAAAGTTTGTGCTTGGGGAGAAGGAGGTTGCATTTGTGCAGAAGTTGAAATTGTCCTTCACCATCCTCAGTAGCAGCAAAAATAGCAAGAAGAAAAGATGTGTATTTCAGGAAGAACTGAAAACGACTGAGGAGGTAAGAAAATCATTAAATCTCTCCTAGAAATTTTCAGGGTTCCCACCAAGAGAAGTTCTACGAGGTCACAAGAGCTTAGTGGTTCAGAGCCTGGGCTTTGGATTGGCCTGATGGGTTCAAATTCTGGTTCTGATACTCACCAGATGTCTGAGCATAGGCAAGCTACTAAATGCCTCAAGCCTCTTTTACCTCAGATCTGAAATGAGGAAAAATAAGTACCTACCTTATAAGGCTGCTATGAAGATAAAAGGGCGGGTGGGGGGGAGGGTAATAGATGTGAAGTGATCAGTGCAATGCCTGGCATAAGGTAAGCACACAGTAAATGCTGTTATCATCAGTGGTCATTGCTGTTATTATCAATTTTATAACAGTATTCAAGACAGTTGACATTACCCTAATTCTGTAGAACTTAGATAATTAAATAAAGATAGGAATGTGAGATAAAAGGCTTAATTGGGAGCCAACTAGAATGGAAAAAGGACACAAACTAAAATTGGAGGCAGGATTAGAGTCAATGTAGAGAAGATAGTTAAAGTAGCACTATATTATTACCACTTTTTTAATAAAGGAAAACAGGTTTATGTAAGAGAATGAACTCTGGTCTAGAAGGCAGGAAAGTGGCTTTAAACGCTTGCTTTGCTGTTAACATGTACAACCTATTAATAATGATTTCATCTCAAATAAGAGATTTATCTTTTAAAAAGATACATAATCACGGATCTATTAGTAATACTCAGGAATTTTTTCTTTTCCTTCAAGGTTAATTTGTGGAAAGCTTTCCAAAACATCAGTATATGAAGATGTGATTTGTGGTATCCTTCACCACTTTTGAATTCCTGAGAAAAAAGGAGAAAAATGGCTTTTACGGGGAATACATAGAAGTTTTTTGGAAGAACTGGGAGCACTATAGTCATAACCTACCTCTTCAAATTGTTCCCAGGTATAATTGGTATTTTCAGCTATTTCTGTCATTATTTCTTTAGGCTGCAAGTGTTTAAATATGTTTTTGTCACAGACATCATAAAATTCTCTCAAAGTCCTCATAAACTATCTTTACAGAGGTGTTGAAGATGTACTCAAAACACTTAAAAACAGTCTTTCCTTGAGGAAAGCAAAATAAAAAAAGTTCAATAACATATTATACCAGTGACTAGAATATTCTCCACTTTGCCCTTTTTACCATTCCTATTGAGAAAGAAAAGTAAGTTACTTCTCCATAGTACACAACTCTGTACAACACAAGGATACAAAAACATCTGGTCAGCTACAACAAAGAGCCTTAGGGAAACAGCAGAAGGTCTAAGACTGTTTGGCTTCCGTTTTTCTCATAGTCAGGATGATATTTTAAACATATATCTGAATATGTCATACTTCTGCTGAAAATCTTTCAAGGCTTCCCATTGCCCTTTGGGTAAATTCCAAACTTCATCAGGATCAAAAAGATCTCCATTACCTGACCATAGCCCCATTCAGCAGTCTCTTCTCACTTCCACTTGAATCTTGGCAAACTGAAACCTTAGTGCACAGGTCCCAAATCATATAGTGAATGCTTCTTCTCTACCTGGCAGCTGCTGTCATTCATCAGAGTTCCATATGAATATGACTTTTCAGAGTCAGTCTTCTGTTCCTCTTTCTCTCTCTTCTCTGTCACTGTGTGAAAATATTTCTGCGACGTCTGTGTTCACGGCGTAATGAACCTCCTGAAGGCACAGTTGCTACTGGAAGTATTTCCACCAGATACCCACCAGAAATCTGAGTCTCCCACCCGTTGAGCAGCCTTCATGTACTGTCCTATTTAAATCAAAGCCCTGTGCCTTCCCCTGTACCCAGCAGTGTGCTGGTTATGTTTAACAATCAGCTCTCTTAAGATAAAAGAGCCAGAATCTTCGTTTGCAGCATTTGCCAATTTCTGTAAATATTCCCACAGTAGCTGATGTCAAGCTACTAACACTTTAATAATAAACTCTCAACATTTTTGAAAATGTAATTATCAGCTCTCACCAGCTGGTACCTGCTGGCTCCAGCATACCATTACCTGTAATTCTCTAGTTTCTTAATTGGTGCTCATCCTTATCTGACATTATGTTACATAATAATGTATTTGTGTGTCATCTTTCTGCCCTACTGGAATTTCAGCTCCAGATTTTGTCTCTTTTTCACTGCAGTGTCTCCAGCACCTAGGAGTAGGGGCTCAAAAATAATTGTTAAATGCATAACTAGTGAAAAGTGCTGCAAAGAAAATATTTAGTCCTGACTTAATCCCACCTTTGGTCTCTATTTTTATAAATCTGAGGAACTAAAACAATCATATGAGAACCTAAAATACATTTATAAAGTATAGGGATACAAACCTTTCATGTATTTGAAGATGTTCTGGGTCTCAAAATTTACTTGTTGGTTTGGTCCACAGGTACTGAGATGCCATCTGGAATTAAAGCAACATCATTTTGGTCGCAGTGTAGGAGCAACCAAAATGTATTCAGATACCAAACATGAAAGAAAATCTGAATAATCAACCATAATACCATTATTGCCAGTACATTCTTCCCTAAAAAAATTTGAATAACTGTGAACTAAGTAACTACTTATGTAATTCAGCTTTTAAATAAATAAGAAAATTAAAACACCTACACTAGTATATGTTATACATTACTTTTAAGCATATATGATTCTGTTTCATTGCTTATGTTGTTCACCTTAATTGAGCAATTGCTATTTTCACTTTATGTAAGAGTATGCAGACCTAAGGAACCAGATAAGGAGAGGGTAGGAGCAGGGGGAAGGTCTTACAGAACATCAGTAAAATACCCTTCAAAAACGGAATGCCAGAAGGAAAAAAGATGGCAGCTTGAGAAGTGAGGCATAAACCTTCTCCCAAAACCATATAAAACACAAAAAAAGCAAATACAACTAATCCTGAAAAAGCAAACTGAAGGCTACAGAACAGAGCCTGTGTCTGGGGAAAAGCGAAGACCTCACAGAAAAGGGTAAAGTAACAAAGCTGTGATCTGATAGAACCCAAGCCCTATCTGACCCCAGCCCACAGGCAGGAGGAACAGAAACAGAGTGGGGAGAGAGTTGAAGCCCAGCACTGCTAATTACCCTGCCCTGGAGATCTACTGCAGGAGCAAGAACCCACATTACATGGTGCTCTGGAGATTAGTAGGGTTGGAAAGCAAAAACAGGTGGAATACTGTGACAAGACTGAGATTCCAGCCACTTGGGGAAAACAGGTACTCACAACTGGTGCCCCTGAGACAAAAGTAAGGCAGACTCATTGAAAGACTTTGCAACAGTAAGAGGGTCGCCAAAGGGGCAAAGATTATCCAGAGCTCGCTGCTTAGGAGAAAGGGCAGGTGGACAAAAATCATCTCGGCAACTCAGCCCAGCAGGTTGGGAACTCTGAGGAGCTTCAGACCCTCCATCCCCCTGGCTGACAATGGAGCCCCAAGGCCCGCCACTGCGATAAAGAGCATGCTGCTCATTCCTCCTGGCAGGCACTGGTCCCATACACCTGCTGCCCCCACCATCACTCCAGGCCAAGCAGACAGTGGCCCCACCTACGGCAGCTACAGGGGCGTAGCACAAAGGCTCCTCCCTGTGTGCTGGGCCCTCTAGACCTGGCAGCAGAGGCAGGAAAGAGATCTTTCCTCCCATCAGGCTCTGGTTCCAATCACCTGCGACCACCACCATTGATTCATAGAGTAGAGTTTCTGAGCACTAGAGGGCGCTGCCTACATGAAGTTACTATTCCATAGGAATCACTAAAAAAAATGAAAGAACAAAAGAATTTTGGCCAAACAAAACTACAGGAAAAGTTGTCAGTAAGAGGGCTAAGTGAAACTGAAATCACCAATCTTCTTGATAAAGATTTCAAAATAAAGTCATGAACATGCTCATGGAGGTACAGAAAAATATTCAAGAACTCAGGAACAAATTTAAGAGGAGATTCAATCATTAAGAAATTCCATATTTGAAATGAAACATACAATGGAGGGATTTGAAAGCAGATTAGATGAGGTAGAGGAGATGGTAAATGAATAGAAGTTAGAGAATAAGAATACAAAGAAGCTGAGGCACAGAGAGAAAAAAGGATCTCTAGGAATGAAAGAATATTGAGAACAGTGTGACCAATTCAAATGGAACAATATTCACATTATAGAAGTACTTACAGAAGAAGGAGAGAGAGAAAAAGGGAGAGAAAGAACCTTTGAGGAAATAATTGCTGCAAGCTTCCCCAATCTGGGGAAGGAAATAGTCTGTCAGGCCATGGATGTGCACAGATCTCCCAACACAGGGGACACAAGGAAGACAACACCAAGATACATAATGATTAAAATGGCAAAGATCAAAGACAAGGACAGAGTATTAAAAGCAGCCAGAGAGAGAAAAAGATCACATACAAAGGAAAACCCATCAGGCTTTCATCAGATTTCTCAACAAAAACCTTACAGGCCAGAAGGGAGTGACATGATATATTTACTGCAATGAAACAGAAGGACCTTTAACCAAGAATACTCTACCTGGCAAAATTATCATTTAAATTTGAAGGAGGGATTAAACAATTTCCAAATAAGCAGAAGTTGAGGGAATTTACCTTCCACAAAACATCTCTATAGTGTATTTTAGAGGGACTACTATAGATGTAAGTATGCCTAAGGCTAAATACTGTCACCAGAGAAAATAAAACCACAGCAAAGGAAGTAGAACAACTAAATACTAACCAAATGCAAAATTAAATCCACCATTGCCAAAGTCAGTCAAGAGATACAGAAAGAGTACAGAATATGATACCCAATATATAAAGAGTGGAGGAGGAAGAAAAAGAAGGGAGAGGAAAAAAAGAACCATTATATTGTGTTTGAAATAGTGTACTAAGCAACTTAAGTCAGGCTGTTAGATAGTAAAGAAGCTACTCTTGAAACTTTGGAAGCCACAAATATAAAGCCTGCAATGACAATAAGTACATATCTATCAATAATCACCCTAACTGTAAATGGACTGACCACAGCAATCAAAAGATAGAGAGTTACATAATGGATAAAAAAATAAGACCCATCTATATGCTGCCTACAGGAGACTCACTTCAAACCCAAAGACATACACAGACTAAAAGTGAAGGGATGGAAAAAATATTTCATGCAAATAATAGGGAGAAGAAACCAGGAGTTGCAGTACTTAGACAAAATAGACTTCAAAACAAAGAAAGTAACAAAAGATAAAGAAGGACATTACATAATGATAAAGGGGTCTGTTCTACAAGAGGATATAAACATTATAAATATCTGTGCACACAACACAGGAGCACCTACATATGTGAAACAAATACTAACAGAATTAAAGGGGGAAATAGAATGCAATGCATTCATTTTAGGAGACCAACACACCACTCACTCCAAAGGACATATCAACCAGACAGAAGATACGTAATAAGACAGAGGCACTGAACAACATATTAGAACAAATGGACCTAACAGACATCTACAGAACACTAAAACAAAAATGGGCAGGATACACATTCTTCTTAAGTGCATTTTCCAGAATAGATCACATACAAGGCCACAGAAAGAGCCTCAGTAAATTCAGAAGGATTGAAATTGTGCCAAGCAGCTTCTCATACCACAAAGGTATGAAACTAGAAATAAATTATGCAAAGAACAAAAAAAAGCCCACAAACACATGGAGGCTTAACAACATGCTCCTAAATAATCCATGGGTCAATGATCAAATAAAAACAGAAATCAAGCAATATATGGAGACAAATGAAAACAACTCAACACCCCAAAATCAGTGGGATGCAGTGAAAGCAGTTCTAAGAGGAAAATATATAGCAATACAGTTTTACCTCAAGAAAGAAAAACAATCCCAAATGAACAGTCAACACTCACAATTAATCCAACTAGAAAAAGAAGAACAAATGAGGCCTAAAGTCAGTAGAAGGAGGGACATAATGAAGATCAGAATAGAAATAAATAAAATTGAGAAGAAGAAAACAAGAGAAAGAATCAATGAAACCAGGAGCTGGTTCATCGAGAAAATAAACAAAATAGATAACCCCCTAGCCAGACATATCAAGAAAAAAAGGGAATCTACACACATAAACAGAATCAGAAATGAGAAATGAAAAATCACAACAGACACCACAGAAATATAAAGAATTATGAGAGAATACTATGAAAATCTATAGCTAAAAAATTGGATAGACAACTTTCTAGAAAAATACAACCTTCCAAGACTGACCCAGGGAGAAAAAGAAAATCTGAACAGACCAATTAACAGCAATGAAATTGAATTGGTAATCAAAAAGCTACCTAAGAACAAAACACCTGGACCAGATGGCTTCACTGCTGAATTTTATCAAACATTTAGAGAAGACCTAATTAATACCCATCCTCCTTAAAGTTTTTCAGAAAGTAGAAGAGAAGGGAGTACTTCCAAACTCATTCTATGAGGCCAGCATCACTCTAATACCAATACCAGTCAAAGACACCACAAAAAAAGAAAATTACAGACCCATATCCTTGATGAACATAGAAGCTAAAATACTAAAAAAAAAAAATACTAGCAAACTGAATTTTAAAATACATCAAAAAGATCATCCATCATGATCAAGTAGGATTTATTCCAGGGATGGAAGGATGGTACAATATTTAAAAATCCGTCAACATCATACAGCACATCAACAAAAAGGACAAAAACCACATGATCATCTCCATAGATGCTGAAAAAGCATTCAACAAAATTCAACATCCATTCATGATAAAAACTCTCAACAAAATGTGTATAGAGGGCAAGCACCTCAACATAATAAAGGCCATATATAACAAATCACAGCCAGCATCATACTTAACAGTGAAAAGCTGTTCCTCTAAGATTGGGAACAAGACAAGGATGCACACTCTCCCCAGTTCTATTCGACATAGTACTGGAGGTCCTAGCCACAGCAATCAGAAAACACAATAAATAAAAGACATCCAGATTGGTAAGGAAGAAGTTAAATTGTCTCTATTTGCAGATGACATGATGTTGTACATGAAACAACCCTAAAGAATCCACCCCAAACTACTAGAATTAAAACTGAATTCAGCAAAGTTGCAGGATACAAAATTAATACACAAAAATCTGTGGCATTCCTATATACTAAAAATGAACAAGCAGAAAGAGAAATCAGGAAAACAATTCTATTCAGAATTGCATCAGAAAGAATAAAATACTTAGGAATAAACCTAACCAAGGAGGTGAAAGACTTTTACTCTGAAAACTACAAGATCAATAAATGGAAACGCATTCTATGCTTATAGATAGGAAGAATTATTATTGTCAAAATGGCCATCCTGCATAAAGCAATCTATAGATTCAGTCCAATCCCTATGAAAATTCCAACAGCAGTCTTCAATAAACTAAAACAAATTGTTCTAAAATTCATATGCAACTACAAAAGACCCTGAATAGCCAAAGCAACTCTGAGAAGGAAGAATAAAGCTGGGGGGATTATGCTCCCCAACTTCAAGCTCTACTACAAAGCCAAAAGTAATCAATTTGTACTGGCACAAGAACAGACCCATAGATCAATGGAACAGAATAGAGAGCCCAGATATGAACCCAAGCATTTATAGTCAATTAATATATGATAAAGGAGTCATGAATATACAATAGGAAAAAGCCTCTTCAACAACTGGTGTTGGCAAAATTGGACAGCTACATGTAAGAGATTGAAACTCCATACACAAAAGTAAACTTGAAATGGATCAAAGACCTGAATGTAAGGCATGAAATTATAAAACTCTTAGAAGACAAGAGGCAAAAATCTCCTGTATATAAACATGAGCAACTTCTTCCTGAACGCATCCCCTCGAGCAAGGTAAACAAAAGCTAAAATGAACAAGTGGAACTACATCAAACTAAAAAGCTTTTGTACAGCAAAGAACACCATCAGCAGAACAAACAGGCATCTACAGTGTGGCAGAATATATTTGTAAATGACATATCCAATAAGGGGTTAACATCCAAAATATGTAAAGAACCCACACACCTCAACACCCATAAAGCAAATAACCCTATCAAAAAATGGGCAGAGGATCTGAACAGACATTTCTCCAAAGAAGAAATTCAGATGGCCAACAGGCACATGAGAAGATGCTCCACATTGCTAATTATCAGGGAAATGCAAATTAAAACGATGAGATATCACTTCACACCAGTTAGGATAGCCAACATCCAAAAGACAAGGAAAAACAAATGCTAGCAAAGATGCAGAGAAAGGGGAGCCCTCCTACACTGCTGGTGGAAATGTAAACTAGTTCAACCATTGTGGAAAGCAATATGGAAGTCCTCAAAAAATTGAAAATAGAAATACCATTTGACTCAGGAATTCCACTCCTAGGAATTTACCCAAACAAAACAAGTTCTCAGATTCAAAAAGACATATGCACCTCTATGATTACTGCAGCACTATTCATAATAGCCAAGATATGGAAGCAACCTAAGTGTCCATCAGTAGATGAACAGATAAAGAAGATGTGGTACATATACACAATGGAATATTATTCAGCCATAAGAAGAAAATAAATCCTACTAGCTAGAGGGTATTATGCTCAGTGAAATAAGCCAGGAGGAAAAAGATAAGTACCAAATGATTTCACTCATTTGTGGAGTACAATAACAAAGCAAAACTGTAGAAACAAAACAACAGCAGACTCACAGACTCCAAGAAGGGACTAGCCATTATAGTCCCATAATGTAGGGAGGTCATGGGGAAAGCAGTATAGCACAGAGATAACAAGTAGTTATTCTAGCATCTTACTATGCTGATGGACAGTGACTGAAGTGGGGTGTGTGGGGGGGTACTTGAGAATATGGGTTAATGTAATAACTACAATGTTGGTCATATGAAACCTTAATAAGATTGTTTATCAATGATTCCTTAATAAAAGAAGGGGGAGAGGGAGGGAGAGAGAAAGAATAATTACTAGATAATTTCAGTATTGCTCATAGTATGAAAAAAGTGGATATAGTGTCTAAACAAAGTGATGATTCAGTCACTATTGAATAATGAGAAACAAATCAAATATGATTAACTCATCAAACTGAAAAAGATCACAAAGTTTAGTAACACTCTGGTAAAAGTGTGGAAAAGAGGCATTTCATATAGTGCTGGTGGTAACATAAATTGGTATGATCTCTATATACAGTAATTTGGCAATATTTAATTATTAAGGAAAAAGGATAAGCATTATTCTACCTTCCTATGTGAATGATTCTTCAGGGTAGCCAAGTGGCCTCATTGATGAGGAAAAGTTCTTCTTTGCAGAATTTGGTTAATAACTTTGGAAGGAAAGATAAGATTGTAAGTATCACCATTTTGCAAATTTCAACCAAAACAATGGATGGAATTATGAAAGTAAAGGTTGGAGGAAAACATTTCAGTGGCACAGTCATGTGGTTACCACCTAAATCCATTGATGCATCTGGTTGTTTTACCAGAAATAATGAACAAAAGAATGGAGAGGTTGTAAGAATAGAAATAGGTTAGCATAAGCATAGCCATCTTAAAGGCCTAGAAGCCATTTTCTGAGTATGTGACTTAGAAAGAAAAACTGGAACTGGGTAAGGCCTTGAAAAACAAGTTAATCATGAGCACCGGGTGGTGGGCAGCTGTGACCCTTGGTCAGCTAACCTTGGTCAGTAAATCTTACATACCAAGCTTATCGTGCAGAACCTCCCTAACCATTGAGGAGTAGTCTTACCCTGCCCTTGCTTAACCCCAGGATATATGTCTTGCAAGAATAATGTATAGTTATAGAAAATTGCTATGAGTTAAGTGCTTTGAAATTGCTATATAAACCCTTGGCTCTGAGTGCTCAGGGTCCTTGTTGAGACCCGCTGCGTCGGGCTGACTTGGACCCCAACTAGTTGGCTGAATAAAGACTTTGCTTGAATTTACATCTCTATGCCTGTGTAGTTTGTTCTCTGGGGAAGCCTCGGAAGCCTGGACCCTAACATTTGGGGGCTCGTCCGGGATACGAGCAGCTTCCCTGAGAACAAAGGACAGCTGGAGGCAAGGTCTAATTGTCCGGACGGGGCAGTGTAATTCGAGGGTCGCCCCCTCGTGTCTGCATAAATCCATTATAAAGCGGGAGTCGCCATCCCGTGTATGGTCTCGGGTTAGTGGTCCCGAGTGAGGAAGTCCGGGCTGGTAGTCCCGGCCCCCAGGTTAGCGACCCTGGGTAAAAGCCCAGGTAACCAATCCTGGCCCTAGGGTCCGAGTGACTCGGCCTTAGGAAGGCAAATCCGATCGGCAGAAAACTGGCGCCCGAGGAGGAAAAGATCGAGCTCGTCACCCTGCGGCAGTCCGAGTGGACGCCCTTCAGGAGAATTACGAGAGTTTTTGAAGACCCTGAAAGTGGTGAGTGTGGTGCGCACCAGAGTGAGAGAAGGACCGGTCCGAACGAGTGCGATCAGATGTGGTGTGTGTGTGCTTAGTGTTATCATTGACTGTTTTACTGTGTTTTGGTTTCGGTTTATATTTTTTTGCGCTTCTCATTTTAAGTTTCCTTGTTCTAAGGTTCTCCTGCTCTCTCCGTTCCTCCTTTCTGCCACTACATCATTCCCCGCGGGCACGGGTCGGGCAATTAAGAGCCATTAGGGCGCCCGCCGCTAGAAGACTCCCGTGACAGGATAAGGGGGTCACAGCCGCGAATCCCAGATAAATTCGCGTCCCCCATGGAAGGAAAACTGTGCAACGACAGGCACTCGTTCACAAGCACATACAACAGTCATTTTGTTTGAAGTGGCATCTTCATCCTTCGCCTTTGTCTCCCTCATATTCTTTTTCCTTCTTTCTCACCATGAGACAGACTCAGACGACCCCCTAAGTGTGTAAATGAATATATCTTTCTACCTCCGGATGGTATTAATGAAATTGATTTAAAGACAAGCGCTTGTGAAAATTGGGTATTCTAAAACTTCCAGAAAACCTGATAAAAAGTGTTAAGCATTAATGCTAATTTGAGTTTGCCTGAGGCGGGCATGTCCTTGTAGTTATCAGCTGCCTAAATTTACCTGAGGTCATTTAAGTCATGTTATCTGCTAAATCTTTTAAAAATAAAATGCTTAAAGGCTTGGCTTTGTCTAATATTCAGTAAAGGTCTTGTAAGTAATCTAGAATAGTTGTTACGAATGAGTGAACTAAATGACTGAAGCAAGTGAACCTCTTTTTAATTGTGTGTTACAGTGTGTATACCTACCTACTGCCTGAGAATCTTTGTAGAAACCTAAAACCTTAAAGTTTTGCTAAGTTAAGAAGATATACTCTATGAGAGATTGTGCTGTAAAGCTCATGGTTACAGAAATTATAAAATGTGTTCATAAATTTGTCAATCTAAAGAATGTTAGTTTAACAGTTTACAATGGCCTGCTTCTCGGTGTTCACTGGAAATTAAAGTTTCTAATGGTTTTAAGTTTTAATTAAAACTACTTAAAGTAATAAAACATTTCTCTATGCTAAAAAATGTATGTTTTAATAAGAAAAAGTATAAAGAATGAAAAGTCTTCTGCATGCTAAAGAATGTGTTTTGTGATAAAGAAAGTAACTTTGTTCTAAAGTACAGCTATTTGTTTAAAGAGAGAAAACAGCGTGGTGCCTTTTGTTGTAGAAGACCCGCTCAGCCTGTTGCTTTGGGGGGGAGGGTCAGGATGTTTAGAGATTAAGTGAGATAAACCCAGTCAAGCCGCAGGCAAGCCCAGGCTAATTCTCACCGGCTTATGTGCTTGGGACCATAGGGCAAATGAAGAATAAATTACTATATTCTTACAGATATAGTCGTGCCTAGTGAAATTAAAGCAAGTGAGTCTTGATATCAAGTGCACAGCAAAATTAGAATCTCGTTTCTAGTTAAACAGTTTTCTTTAACTGTTAGTCTGCTCTTAATGTTGAAAGATCAAAGCAGTTTCTCATGCTTAAAGTCTCAGTGAGTTGCCAGAATATTAAAAAAAAAAAAAAATGAAATCGTAATATTAAAAAGACGAAAAGCTAAAGTTTGTTAACAACTGTATAAGCTTTATTTGCCTTTGAAATATTTTGTTATTGAAAACGATTGCATGGCCTGAGAAATTGAATTATTTATTCCATATATTTTTATAAGTGGAAAAATCTCTAACCAACAAATGATTAAAGTTGTTACTGATTATTTGTTTTCTTAATTTATCCTCCTAAGCAGAATGGTAACAAAGCTTTTTTCAGCTGATTAAATGCACTTAGTTAACAAACCAAAATTTATTCTTAAAAATTAAACTAGAATCTAGACAAGATTATGTTTCTCCCAGAAAAACAAGTTTCACTGTAAAAGTTTAAATGGACAAACGTGTGACCACTTTTGAGAAAGGTTGTAATAGATTTTTTTGACAACCACCAGGTCTTCTTGTTTAATTTATATGCTGTATGTTTTAAAAAAAAAAAAAACATGGGGGATGAAAGGAAAGGAGCGACACATAGCAGCAATTAACCGGAGAGTTCCGCTTTATTAGGGAAAAGTGCTAGGTTATATAGGAAGGGGCATGAATTGATTGAGGTGTCACTTCTACGGAGCTGGTGGCTGTTGGCTAGGTGCTGGGATTGGGAGGGGAGCGAGAGGTGATTGGGCTTCAGGTGGCGCCGGCGGAAACCAAGGACCCCCGAAGAGAAGCCGGAAGTTTGCCATCTTACTAGTAGTAGTCCTTCAGAGGACTCTTCATATTTTTTTAATGCAAATGATCTTAGAGCTTTTAATAGAATTTGCATAGCAGCTTATATCTACTATTAAAGAGTAAAACATTCTTGAAGCTTTCAGAGAAGACCTGTAGACTTAAGCACTTTCTCTGCTTTTTTTGTATCTGGTCTTGGACACTTATGCTAAGTTCAAAAAAAAGTGCTTTTACCTCTAGTTAACTCTGATATTTTCCAGAGGGCCCCTGGAACATGTCAGAAGAATTTTTTCTCATTAGAGAAAGTATTTGACTAATTTGGCTTATTTATCTGATATATATTTATTTATTTACCAGGAAAGCACTGTCAAAGAGAATGATGCTAAACTTTGTTACTAAATGTTTTGTATTACAGAAATATCAGAATTTCCTTATGTCAACTGTCTTACAGTAAGCTCTCATCAGATCTTTAACCATTGTCATTTGTAAGTCTTTTGTCATTTATAGTATTATCCCTAAACTGGTAAAGAACTAGATTTCAGCAGAACAGGTATTAGTTACATAAGATTACATAAACTAAAGAAAATGATTTTGTGTCTTTTTGTTTCAAATGTTGCTGATAAAGTGTTTTAACCTTGTTCTCTTAAACTGACAACAGTTTAGTAAATGACTATCTTTATGAGCAGAATTGAAACTTCCTTCTCTCTACCTGATCCCTCCAGAGTTTAAAAACTTTCAGTGACTGTTTTTGTATTCCATGGCAGTATGTTTATTTGCATGAGTTCAATAAGAATCTGCTTTCCTTGTGAGAAGACTACTTAAGAACACTGGTTATACTGCCAGGGCTTTGACTGGAATGTCATACCTGAGAGACATGTGCATGGACTCAGATGTGAACAACTTTAAGGAACTAAGATTGACTTTATAAAGCCAACAAAGCCCCTTGGAAGAACTGGCCTGGTACCTTGCTTACAGAGTTCCCAGCAGCCTTACCAGGTGAGTAAAGAAGGTCACTTCCTGGCAGGTGCAGAGACCTCGAGAAGAGAAGAATTCATCCAAATCTACAGGTACTGCAGGCAAAGCCTGATGGCAAGTCTAGCTTGGCTGTCTGGCCTCAAGAGGCCTTTAAAAGTTCAATCTGAAATTCCTTATAAAAAGTTCCAGCAAAGCATATTTAAAAGAGCCTGTGTAATCAATTGCTCTTCTTGCTGCACTTGTGCAAATGATCAAGCCAGCTGTTAATTATTTTCTTAACCTGGTTACTTCTAATAAAAATGAGGGTGATTTTAGAGAAAAGTATTGTTTCAATAACTGCAGCCTCCAGAATAGAAAATCCAACTCCAGATGTTGCTACATAACCTAATAACACAATTTGTTTTATCTTGCCTAGAAGCCACAAAACTGCAAATAGTAATAGAAGCGCCAGCCTTCTGAAGCCCTCTCAACTGACCAGTAATAGAGACCTAGCTGCACCCTTTACTGCACCCCCTTCTCAGCACGAAGCAGCCAGAGCGGTCATCGCCCCTTTTCCCTAGCAGCAGCTAGAGTCCCTATCTGTAGAAGACAAAGACCGAGACTCACTTTATCCTCTGCAAGTAGGCAAAGAACCTGCATTGAGAGAGTTCCTAAAACTTACACCTCCC